CGGAGGGCCAGTCACGGTCGCGGAGCGAGGGGTCGGGTGGAATTCGCACGCTCGCGGCGGCGCCGTGGAGAGGCTACTGGAGAGCCCCGCCCCTTCCGCCCTGGACGCCGGGCCGGAGGGCGGCGCGGGCGGGGCGGCCGGAAGTGAGCCCGAGCTGGTCCCGTGTGTTCCGGCGGTCCGCGGCTCGGGCGGCCCCGCTCCCTCGCGTTCTTCGTTCCGGTCTTCTTCAGGGCGTTCGCCCCGCCCCTGGGCCGCCAGCGCCGCCTCCCCGCCCGGCGCCATGGCCGCTGCGGCCGGGGACGGCGCGGTGAAGCCGCTGCAGTGCGCTATGAAGCTGGCCAACGGAGCCATCGAGCTGGACACCGGCAACCGGCCCCGGGTGAGGCGCGGCGCGGCGGGCGCGGCGGGCGCGGCGGGCCCGGCCCCGCCAGAGGCCGGCTCGGTGGGCGTGGGCGAGGGCGGGGCCGCGGGGGCGCTGGCGAGGACCCCCGGGGCTGCGGGGGTGCCGGGCGCGGCGGCGGCGTCTGACCTTGGACAGCTCCCAGCCTGTCCGCCCCGGTTCCCCGTCGGCTCGGCGGTCGGAATGGGAGCCGCGCTGGCCGGTGTGAAGGGGATGCAGCAAGGCTCGCCAAGCAGCCTCCGAATAGACCTGGCAGAGGCTCCGTGTGTGTGTTTCCCCGGGAAGACGCCGTGGATTTAATCACATTCCCGCGGGGACGGCATCGGAGAAGGTTCACTGCGCCTCCTCCGTGCTGTGCCTTCCCGGTGGCCGCAGCCCCGGCGGGAGGCTGAGCCCGCTCCCCAGTGGGTGGCATCCCGGGCGGGACCGGGTGGAAGAGCCGGCCGAGCCGCCCGCCCGGGACTGCGCGGGAGGGAGCAGCTGCCGGCGAGCCCGGGAAATACATTACGCCCCTCAGTCCCCGGCTGTCCCAAGTCAGAAATCCTCCCCGCAATCCATGGTACTAAGCTCTGAGGTGTAGACTTAAACATCAATAATTTGGAAACCGGGATGCAGTGAACACACACACACACACACACCATGCTGTGCGTTCCAGGTGGCCTCTGTGCAGGGAGCCCCAGACAGAATGCCCACACCCTTGAAACTGGCAATGTTCTAGCGTTCTAGAATCCGGTGTACAGGGAAGTGAGGTTCAGGAAAGGGATTTCCCAGAACCCAAGCCAGACACAGATTCTAAGATTTGCAACAGCACTCCCTCATTAACCTCCCAAGAAAATAAATTACAAGCCCATGAATGAATGGCACAGAAATGAAACCTGTTGTATAGAGTGGACAGTGACACAGCTCTCAAAGTTGCTTCCCCCTGGCCACTTCCTTCCTGTGCTGGAGAGAAAGGCGGAGGGAGAAGGGATGGGTACCCAGCTGAGCATCTTCCCCTTCACGTCTGGAGGAGACTGACGAATCAGCCAACCACCTCAGGCTAGGTGCTCAGGTCTGTCTCAGAGATAAGCAGACACGAGGGCGGCAGGCGGCGTGATGGGGTCCTTGGCCTCTCCTGCCTGACCCCGGCCATTTCTCTCCCCGGGGCACAGGAAGCATATACAGAATACCTGAGGAGCATCCACTACATCTCCCAGGTGCTGCTGGAGGAAGTGGAAGCCACCGAAGGTACAGCTCTCAGCCTCGCCACCACTCCTGGGCTGGTCAGAGTTCGGACACCTAAGCCCTTGGCGGGTTTCAGGCCTGGGGTGTCCCGTTCTACCCACGGGGTCATTGAATGGCTGGGCTCTCAGTCAGCACAATCTATCGTGGTGTGACGTGATGAGGGGAGTGGTGGGGTAGGACATGGCCGGGGGGAGTGACCTGAGAAAAGGCTGGGGCAGCCTGCCCAGCAGAGGGGCGAACAGAAGTGGGTGCTGGGTGTGAGGAAAGGCAGGCCGGCAGACAGGCTGGAGCAGGTTCGTGCATTAGAGGCAGGCACAGAGCTGGGGTGGCTCTCACAGGAGGGTTAGCTCCTGGAAGCAGTGCAGAGGCCGGCATGGGGGCAGAGCCTCCCGGAGGTCCCCGTGGTGGGGACAGCAGTGGTGAGACCTCCTGCAGGTGGATGGCCTGGGGGATGTTCTTTGAATGTGGGCTTACTTCACCAGACTTGCTGGATGGAGGGGGGGGGGGCTTCTGCTTGAAGTGTCTAGCAGTCCAGTGCACAGGGCACCTTAGTTGGGGAGAGGTGGGCGTCACCAGGGACGGAGCCCTGGGGAGCCAAGGAGCTCAGCCGAGGTCTGGGCACTTCGAGATGAGGTCTGGGAGGAGTTTGGTGGCAGTAGCCAGGGGTGTCCTGGGGGAGAGAGACCCTGAGAGGTTGGGGAGCACTTGGGACTAGGGCAGACGTGGGGGATGAGGGCAGTTTCAGTGGGAGTGTGCTGAGGGGCTGGCTGTGAAAGGAGCAGGAGGTGGGTCAGGAGCTGGGCTGGTGGCGTCCAGGGTTTGGGGAGGAGCTCCTGCAGCGAGTGTCTGCTGGTGGGAGAGTGTGTAGAATGGAAGCCCTAGGGAGTGTGAGGGTGGTGTGAGGGTGGGCTGAGCACAGCCGAAGGCCAGGAAGCGGTGATGAAGTTGTCTCTGTGACAGGGTCCCTGAATGGTGGCCCACCTGGAGGAGGTGCCGTGGGTGCAGGTGAAGTCCTCGGGAGAAAAGGCCCCGTTGGGTAGAGAGAGGCTCTGACGGTCCAGCTGAGACAGTGGGACAGTCCGTCAGATACTGGGCTGGCCCTACTCAGAGCCTGAGGGCCGATGGTCAGAGATGAGGCCGGTGGAGGGGGGTGGTGGGCTGGCCTGGGGGTCAGAGGTTAGGAGACAGTAAACTTGCCCTTTGTTTATCTCAGCAAGAATCTGGTTAGTGAATGAGTGATGGTAACCAGTCTTCCTGTCCGCACCCAGACGCTGGGCAGACCGTGCCCCTGGATGCCCTGAAGATGCTGAAGCTGGCAGAGCAGTGTCTGGAGAGAGCCCAGTCCACGGTGGCCAAGCTTGGTGGGTCTCCAGCAGGTTGTCCTGGGGTGTCCCCCCAGTTGTGTCTCCTCTTCGGCCTGTGGGGCTCTGTGCCAGCTCACGGCTCTGTGTGCCTCGCAGGGAAAGCCAGCCTGAAGCCAGCCGTGCCCGTGGCTGCTGCCGCCCCCTCACCCACCAGCCGGCACCGCCGGGTGTACTCGGACGAGGGGGGGAAGCTCCTTCCGTTTCTGCCGCCAGAGATTTTCCAGAGGCTCCAGGTGGTGGAGTCGCAAAGCTCTAAGAAGTAAGATGGGGGCAGAGGCGAGGGAGGTGGGCGGGGCAGAGGCGAGGGAGGTGGGCGGGGCTGGGTTCGGAGGCCAGGCAACGGGAGCTCACCTGGCTAGTTTGGGTGAAATGGGTCCCAGGGTGGAGATGCCCATGTGCAGGGCGGGAACACATACACACTGTCCTTGGAGAAAAGCTCCTTTCACTTCCATAAAACAAGCACACAGGAAGTAAGAAAGTGAAGGAAGGACAGCAGAGATAGATGACAGAATTGTCGAACTGAGTGATCAGACACACTTATAAAGCAATCATGCTCCCTATATGTAGAGGAATAAAAAGCATGTGTGAAAATACATGCAAGTTGCCCTGGCCAGTGTGGCCCAGTGGTTGAGTGTGGTCTGTGCACCAAGAGGTCGCAGGTTTGATTCCAGGTCAGGGCACATGCCTGGTATTTGGGCTTGATCCCCAGTAAGGGGCATGCAGGAGGCAGCTGGTAAGTGTTTTTCTCTCATCGATATCTCTCTCTCTTCTTCCCTCCCTCTCTCTCTCAAATCAATAAAAACGTATTTAAAAAAAAAAAAAGAGAGAGAAGAAAATGCCTATAAAGAAAAGAAATGCCTGCAGGAGCAAGAAACTATAAAACCTGACCTAGCAAATGAAGAACCAAGTAGAAACTAAATGAAAACTGTAGCATCACCTTGTTGTTAAAGTTAAGTGGTAACAGCAACAACAAATTACAGTTGATCCTCAGAGTGCTGGGGGGTGGGAGCACTGAACACCCAACAGTTGCAGATCCGAGCTTGATGTAAGTTGGCCTTTGAATTCCCAGCAGCAGATTGAAAACACAGCTGACCTTTAAGTAACACAGGTTTGAGCTGTGGCTTTTTACACCTGTACTTTAAGTGAGTTTTTAATTTTAAGTGAAATCTGCACAGAAGTGGCTGTGGCCAGTTAAGACCTGTGATGTTCAATGGCTGATTGTATGTCCTCCAGGAAGCACCACGTATGTGCCCAAAGTGACCAGTTAGGCAGACATAGCTGAAGAGAGAATTAGTGAATTGGGTCAGAGGTCAAAAGAACAGCCAGAACGACTCACAGAAAGAAAAGAAAAGAAAAAAAAATTTGAGAGATCGAAGGTCTAACATGTGGTCACTGGAGTTCCAGGAAAAGGGGGGAAAAGACAGGAGAGGCATGTTCTTTGAAGACATAGCTGTAATTTTTTTATTGACTTTAATTTTTTAAATATTTTATTGATTTTTTTAAAGAGGAAGGGAGAGGGAGAGTTAGAAATATCGATGAGAGAGAAACATCAGTCAACTGCCTCCTGCACACCTCCTACTGGGGATGTGCCGGCAGCCAAGGTGCATGCCCTTGACCGGAACCGAACCTGGGACCCTTCAGAACCCGGGACCCTTCAGTCCACAGGCCGATGCTCTATCCACTGAGCCAAACCGGTTAGGGCACATAGCTGTAATTTTCTAGAACTGATGAAAAATACCAAGACCCAGATGCCAGCATCCCAAGCAGATAAACAAGGAGAACCAGCTCCCGCTGGCCTGCTGCTGCTCAGGAGCCTCCAGGCCATTGGGTTCCACCTGGGGCTCCGGCTCAGGGGCAGGGCCAGGACCAGCGCTTCCACCCCAGGGCAGACTCTCCCCCTCCCCCACCCAGGGAAGCAGGACCGGGAGGGGGGGCGGGGGGGACCGAGGCTTTGGTGCGGGGTGGCTGTGGGGAGCTCTCCTCCAGTCGAGGTGATGTCCCTTTTGTGAGCTGCTCACAGCTGCCTTAAGAGTTTCATGTTGTTGCCAAACCCACACGACTGAACTACATCAAGGTCTGAGGTCTGGCTTCCTGGGAGAGGCCAGCTGTCCTGGCAACAGGTCACCCACATTTCAGGGCGCTGTGGTCCACCCATGGTCCGTCCATCCAGACACCACTTCCTGCCGTTCTGGCCTCAGGGCTGGGCCCCCGGAACATCGCTGGGCTTCCTGGGCCCGGACAGCAGTGTGTCCCGTTTGCAGGGAGCTGACCCCCCTGGAGGAGGCCTCCCTGCAGAACCAGAAGCTGAAGGCCGCCTATGAGGCCCGGCTGGCCCGTCTGGACCCCAGCCAGGCCCTGCAGAAGACGTCGCTGGTGAGCAGGGCCCCGGGCGGCTCTGTGCTGCTGACGGGGGGAGAGGGGAAAGCAGGCCTCATTCCTCCCTCCCTCCCCTCCAGACCCTGTCCCTGCAGCGGCAGATGATGGAGAACCTGGTGATCGCCAAGGCCCGGGAGGAGACTGTATCCTTCCTGTGCATCCAGCCTCCGTGTCCAGGGGAGAAACCGGGAAGGTGACCTTGAGCTGAGGGAGGAGAAGCGGGAGAGTAAACGGTGACAGAGTCAGGGTGCAGGAGCAGACTTTTCAGCTTCGGGGGAGCCATGTGCTCCGGAATGGTCCGCACGCCCCCACTTTGCAAAGATCGTCCTGCCCCCCAGCCAGGGGCACCTAGGACTTGCCTCCCGCCCTAGTGGGTGCCCGTCCTCCAGCGCCGCCACTGGACTGGACCTCCTGAAGGGCCGAGGCAGTGCCCTGCCCCTGGCCCTGAGTCCGGCTGAGCCTCAGGGCCGGGCTCAGTGCACGTGCAGGGCATCGATGCGGCCTTAACCCTGCGCCAGCTGCAAAGGAAGATGGAGGAGCGGCGGCTGCGGCTCCAGGAGGCCGCCAACAGGTGCGTCCCCTCCCGCCGGCCTCAGCCTCGGCCTCAGGCAGCTGGGAGGCCTGGGGGTGCCCAGACGCCCGAGGCCCAGCCCGTCCTTCCTCCCCAGGAGGTTCTGCAGTCAGGTGGCCCTGACCCCGGAGGAGCGGGAGCAGCGGGCCCTCTACGCCGCCGTCCTCGAGTACGAGCAAGACCATGTGCGTCCGGGGCAGGTGCCTGGGCGGGGCCACGGCCGCGGCTCTGGGTGGGGGTCCTTGGGCCAGGGTTACCCCTCACCCCTCAGGGGCCCAGGTCCCATGGGCCTGGTCGCGTTGGATCTTCACTGCACCCCAGGGTAGGTATCAACAAGGAGGCCTGGCCCTTTGGGGTGCAGCCCTGGAGGGAGGAGGGAGTGGGGGGAGGGAGGAGGAAGGAGGAAGGAGGAACCCCCCTTTGTGGGGGTCCCGTGCTCTCCTCCACGGTCTCCTGTCCTGCAGGAATGGCCAAAGCTCTGGAAGGCCAAGCTCAAGAGGAGCCCTGGGGACCTGTCACTGGTGACCAGCCTGGTGTCCCACCTGCTCAGGTACCGGGTCCGCAGGCCCCGCCCTCCGGCTGCTGGAAGGCCAAGAAGGGGAGGAGGGGATGGGCCGGGCCATGCTGCCGGGCCCCTCTGCCTGGTGGTGTTTCAGGGCTCTCTTGCTTCCTCCCGGGGTGGCCAGACTATTTGCAGCGTCTCCTTTGGAGGAAGGAATGCAAGATGCCTATGGACGAGGGTCTGGGAGGGTGGGCTCTCAGGCCCCAGCCCCCGGCCCGAGGCCAGCCGGGCCCGCGGTCCTCTAACCCACGGCCTCCGCTTGTCCGGCAGCGTCCCCGACCACCCCATCGCGCAGCTCCTGAAGAAGCTCCAGTGCGCGGTGTACCGGGCGCTGTACCACGTCGTGAGCCGGGGCGCTGCAGCCGCTCCCGCCCCCGGAGGCTGCTCCCTGCCCCCTGACGCCGAGGGGCTGCTGGCTCCCGGGAGCCGGCGCCTCCGGCCCTCCCAGAGTCTCTACTGCATGCTGTCCTCCCCGGAGCCCAGCCCAGCCCCGCATCCGCCTGCCGGCGCCCCCGCCAGCCCCCCCACACCTCCACCCCAGCCCAGGCCCCCCAGCAGAGGGGCGGACGGCAGCCCTCGGGGGTCCCCCTCACCCCTCATGCGCAAGGACAGCTCCTTCGAGGACCTGGAACAGTTCCTGGCCACTCCGGAGAGGTGGGGCCAGGGCCCCGGGCGGGGGACGGACCCTCCGGCCTCGGGGGTGAAGGAGGAGCCGCTGCTGGAGCCGCTGAAGAGCACCGTGAAGGACATTCACAACGCGGTCGGTGAGGGCTCCGCTGGACAGGCAGGCGGCGGGAGCTCGGGCGGCAGACAGGCCGGCCCTGACCTGCAGGGCCCTCCCCTCCACCTTCCTCTGAGCCAAACATCCTGCTCACAGCCAGGCCCCACCCTGCCTCCGGAGCAGCTGGGCTGGCAGCCGTCCCGTCCCCCCAGCCCTGACTGAGGCCTCCCGGGCTGCCCGGCGGACGCAGCCTGGCCGCTGCAGTCTGATTGGGAAGGTCCACCCTCAGGGCCTCGCAGCCCGGGGCCCTGCTGTCTCCTAGGGCTGGACGCACATCCTTCTGAACCGAGGGCTGTGCAGCTCAGCCTGGGGGTGACGATGGCTCCCCCCCAAGTATGTGGGCTCCCTGTGGAGGGCCCAGGGTCTCCCCAATCCCGTGGCCCAGGGACTCCCCAATCCTGAGGAGGAGGGCTCTCGGGGTTTTCTCAGAACCAGCAGCCGAAGCCTGACAGTCAGGGCCCTGTTCTCACTGTGGGGCCCACACTCCCCATGGGACCAGACAGGCCTTGTCTCAGGCAGGTCCCCTCCTCCTGGGTGGGTCCCCCATCTTTTTGAGCAAGTCTCCCTTATCCCAGGAGGGTGCTCCATCCCCCTGGGCCTCAGATTTCTTGTCCTGGAATAGCTGCTAACGCTTCTCCGGTCCTGCAGTCTGGGCACAAACTCTTCCAGAAAGAACCCGCTTCCTTGGCCCCCAGGGAGTGAGGGGCTGGGGGGAGCCAGTGAGCACCCAGGGAGGAGGGTGCAGACTCCGGCTCTGACCTAGGCCATGTAGACCAGGAGGGGGTGAAGTAAAGGGGAGCGGAGGGAGGGCCAGGCAGCAGCCCTCCCCGCTGAGCCAGGACACGAACGGTGGCCCCAGCCACACCGAGGCGGGCTCTGGGAGGCAGGGAGAAGGTGGTGGGTGAGGGACCCGTCTGGGCGAGGTCCGGGGGCTGCCAGCGGCCCACAGTGTGGTGTGCTGGCTCTCTCCGGCAGACAGGCTGCTCTCGCTGACCCTCCTGGCGTTCGAAGGCCTCAACACGGCTGCCTCCAAGGACCGCTGCCTGGCCTGCATCGAGGAGCCCTTCTTCTCCCCCCTGTGGCCCCTGCTGCTGGCTCTCTACAGGTGCCGTCCCAGCCCGGCCCTCCAGGTTCCCGTGTCACCGCCTTCCCGTCCCGGCACACGTGTGACCGCTTCCGGGCTTTCCTCCATTGCATCCTCAGCGGGCGCTTTGCCCGAGGTGGCGCATCCACCCCCTGGAGCAGGGGGCAGGGCCAGCTCGCCCCACCCTGCCTGCCCCAGGCCGGGTCCCCTGGGCAGCTGAGCCTGGCCTCTCTCTGCCGCAGGAGTGTGTACCGCTCCCGGGAGGCTGCCCTGAGCAGGAGCATGGAGCTCTACAGTAATGCACCCCCAGCAACCCTCGGCATCCCCCCCAAACTGCTCCCTCGGGGCCCTGAGACCTCGGGAGCCGGCGCCTATCCCTACTGCGCTGCTGCCCAGGAGCTGGGGCTGCTGGTCCTGGAGTGCTGCCCCCAGAAGAAGCTGGACTGCATTGGTGAGAGGGGCGTGGTCACACCAGCCATGGGAGGAAGGAGGGGGCGTGGTCACACCAGCCATAGGAGAGGAGGGGGCATGGTCACCAGCCTTGATCCTGTCCCAGCTGGGACCAGGCCTGTGTGTCTTGTCTGAGCTGCAGGTCCTCCTGCAAACGGGGTGTGTCCCATGGACATGGGTGTGAGCGCGGCACCCACGGGAGGGATCACCCACACGATGGGTGTGGGCGGTGCTGGGGCTCTTCTAGCTGCCCCTGCCCCTGCCCTCACCCCAAAACTTGCTTCTGTGCCGCAGTGCGGGCCCTTCGCGTCATCTGCGCCTGTGCTGAGAGCTACTACTGGGCCCAGGAGCCTGCACCCGAGGCCAGACCGCAGCCCGGCGCAGCCGCCATGTGAGTCCAGGGAGGGCACAGCCTGGGTGGACACTGGTGCATGATGGCCAGGGACCCTCCGATGGTACTTGGGGTTGCTCACCCCAGATGCACGTGCTTGGTCCCTCCATACACACCTGGGGGAAGCTGCCTGCTCAGTGAGGAGCCTGCTCCCTGCACCGAGCCCCCCGCCCTGGGTTCCTGCATCGCCCCTGCTCACCTCCCCAGGCGCTGCGGCCTGGGCTCTGATGCCTGGTCCGGCCTGTTTCCCCTGGTCCTGCCTGTGGCCGGCAGCCTCCGGCTCTGCTGCCCATCTGGGACTGGCGTTCCCATAGCCCCTGCAGGGGCTCTGCCCCTGGGACCAGGGTCGTCCCGGAGGCACCTGTCATTGCAGCCGGTGGCACCTGCCCACGCCCAGGGGCCTGCAGGTGATGGGCAGGTAGAAATCAGAGCTGAGTGTGAGGTTGGCAGGAAAGTGGGAGACAGACGCCACCTCCACCCACCCCGGGCCAAGGTGCTCACTCCCCACTCAGTTCACTTAGACTCTTCTCACAGAGGGTCGGTGCCTGTGTGCCCAGCTGAGTGACAGTGTGCAGGAGTAAGCAGACTGCCGGGGACCCGGGCCATCCTCCATCCTCCATCCTCCTGCTCCCCAGGCTGGGGCGAGCTTATGGTTAAAGCTGCCCCTGGCCGCCATGGGGCTTGTTTGGGGCCGGCCCGGCTGCTCCCAGGAGCTCTGTGCGGGTGGGTGCAGAGAGCATCAGTAAACCCAGGACCACACGGGGGTGAGGGCTGAGCTGGGCTTCGCAGTCTGGGGGTGGAGCAGCCCACGGGCCCCCGGCGCCTCCGCCAGCATGCCCTGTCCCACAGCGGCGCCGACGACCTGCTACCCATTCTGTCCTTCGTGGTGCTGAGGAGCGGCCTCCCCCAGCTGGTGTCGGAGTGCGCCGCCCTGGAGGAGTTCATCCATGAGGGGTAGGGGCCAGGCTGGGGAGCCGGGCAGGCACGTCCACACGGCCCACGACCCCTCCCCCAGCCCCTTTCTGCCCCCCTCGCTCAGCGCACTGCCTAGATCGGGGTGCGGGACAGCGGGGCAAGCTCTGAGCAGCATCTGCCTGGGGCGTGGGCTGTCTCCCCTCCCAGCTTCCCTGGCACCCCCTGGTCCTGCTACCCAAGGGCAGATGCCCTTTCTTGACTTCGGGGCCTCCTCAGCGACAGATGCTGCCCCACAGGTACCTGATCGGAGAGGGGGGCTACTGCCTGACGTCCCTGCAGAGCGCCCTGAGCTACGTGGAGCTGCTGCCCCGGGGCGCCCTGGGCAAGTAGCAGAGACGGCACCTGCAGCTTCCGCCGCCCAAACCCACGTCTGCCCGGGGAGCTGCTCCCACAGCACGGGGCCTCCCTGTCGGCCTCCAAGAGGCCCCTTGCTCCCCCCAGAGCGCTGTGGGCTCCCCTGGGGGGCACAGGGCGGAGCAGGGGCGGGGGCCGCCTGTCCCTGCGACAGCTCCCGGAGCCGAAGAGAGCCTGTCACGCTGCCCCCGGAGGCCTGGGCCCAGGGGCTTGAACTGCACTTTTATTTATTGACACTGACCACTCCACTCCCCCCTGGAGACCTGGCGTCCCCAGGGGCTGCCCACGCCTGAGGACTCTGAGCCACATCCCCCCTTGGCGGTGGGCATCGAGCACCCCGGCCCGTTCCTGCCCTGCACATCCCCTCCAGTGGGTGGGAAGCAGGTCAGTGCCTGCACGGCCTGCTCTGACTCGACGGGCCCCGGCAGCCACTGACCTGCTGAGAATAAAGAGGTCACTGCACTGACGTCTCCCTCCGTGTCGCTGGCTTTCTCCCCACTCCTGGCCGAGGCAGGACCGCACCCTCTCTCAGTAGAGCCAGCAAGAGCCAGACGCCCAGAGGCCCCTGAGGTCCTCGACACGGGGCCTGCCCCCACGCCCTCTGTGCAGGAGTGGGGCGGCCCTGGGTGGGCCCCTCGGATTGGATGGGCCCCTCTGCAGGGCCTGGTGGGGTAACGGTTGGAGGTCACACCTGGGCAGAACACTCAGTTTTGTACTCGGGGTGGCGAGCACATGGGGCCGCTGAGCAGTGGTACCTTTGACTCTGGCAGAGGAGAGGGCAGGGGTCTGGGCCCCAGCCATGGGCAGCACCTGCTGGGGAAGGAGGACCCCCCGGCCTAGCACCCTGGAGGCTGCAGAGGTGGGGCGCGGGCCCAAGCACAGCAGGTGCTGGGTGGGAGCAGTGTTCAGGTTCTTGGGGAAAAGCTCCTACAAAAACAGGACCAGTCGGCATTTATTGGGCCAGTTTTCCAGGCCTTCTGCAGGTTTGCACCTCAGGAGTGAGAACCCCATGAGGTAACTGCCACGGCCCTTCGCAGCCCACATATTATGGCGAGGGGCGTGGGTGTGAGCCTGCAAGCCGCCTCTGGAGGCCAGCGGGCACCCAGGCCGCTGTCCTGTAGGGGGGGTCCGTGGGCTGGAGTCTGCTGGCAGCGCAGCAGGAACGATGGACTGCACCGCCCACTCACCTGGCGGGGAAGGGGAAGGGTCCCGCCCCAGAGGAGATCCCCCACCCGCGGGTTCCCGAAGAACTCCCGCTCCTTCGTCCCTGGCGCTGCAGAGGGCCTGGCCCGGGGAAAAGGGCCCGTCCGTCCCGGAGCCGCGAGGCCTCCTCTGGGACCGCTGCTGGGACGCTCTCACGGGGTGCCCGCTGAGCCTGCTCTTCGGGCTGGAGGATGCGCTGTGCACCGCACCGGGTTTGGGCTCGGCGGACACAGGTGGGAGCGGACAGGCCCCGCCCCCGGGAAAGGCCCCGCCCTTCCCAGCCCCTCGGGAACGCACCGGCCCCGCCCCTGGGGAAGGCCCTGCCCCTCCCAGCCCCGCGGGAACGCACCGGCACCGCCCCCTGGGGAAGGCCACGCCCCTGGTAAAGGCCCCGCCCCACAGGAACGCCCTGGCCCCGACCCCGGGAAAGGCCCCGCCCTGTGGGAACGCACCGGTCCTGCCCCCCTGGGAAAGGCCCCGCCCCTCTCCCTGGGAAAGGCCCTGCCCCTCCCCCTGGGGAAGGCCCTGCCCCGCTGGGACGCACCGGTCCCGCCCCCGGAAAGGCCCCGCCCCGCGGGAAAGACCACGCCCCCAGGACCGCACTGGCCCCGCCCCCGGAAAAGGCCCCGCCCTGTGGGAATGCACCAGTCCCGCCCCCTAGGGAAGGCCCGCCCCCGGGAAAGGCCCCGCCCTGTGGGAACGCACCAGTCCCGCACCCCGGACAGGCCCCGCCCCTGGGAACGCACCGGCCACGCCCCCTAGGGAAGGCTCCGCCCCTGGGAAAGCACCGTCCCCGCACTCGGATAGGCCCCGCCCCGCCCCGCCCGGCCCGGCCGCCTTGGCGGAGGCGGCGGTGACTGACTCCAGCCCCGCCCCGCGCGTCACGGCCCGGCGGTGGGCGGAGCGGGCTCGGCGGAAGCGCCTGGCTAGCGGAGAGCCCGAGCGGAGCGGCGGGCGCCGGGGACCGCGGGGACGGACAGGTAGGGGGGCGGCCTGCGGGGCTCCCGGCGACCAACGGGAGCGGATCTCTGTCCGGGGGCGGGGGGAGTCCGCGGGAGGGCGGGCGGGGCCCCGGGAGGGGCTGTGGGTCCCGGGCCGCTGCGCCGCGGACAGCGGGTCCCCGGGCTGAGGGGACCTGTGGCTGCTCTTCCTCACCGCGGCGCCCGGCTCCGGAGGCTGGTGGCGCTCGGGGCCTCAGCGGGCGGAGGGTCCCGGTGGGCGGGGGTCCCGGCGGGCGGGGGGGCCCGGCGGGCGGGGGGTCCCGGCGGGCGGGGGGGCCCAGTCCCTAAGGCCCGCCCCGCCCCCAGGATGGGCAGCAGCTCGCTGTGCGAGGACTACCGCCTGTGCCTGGAGCGGGGGCTGCGGCGCGGCCGCGCGGGCGTGTGCGGGGACCCGTCGCTGCGCGCCGTGCTCTGGCAGATCCTGGTGGAGGACTTCGACCTGCACGGGGCGCTGCAGGACGACGCGCTGCCGCTGCTCGCCGACGGCCTGTGGGGCCGCGCCGACCTGGCGCCCGCGCTGCGCCGCCTGGCCCGCGCCTTCGAGCTGCTGGAGCTGGCGGCCGTGCACCTGTACCTGCTGCCCTGGAGGAAGGAGTTCACCACCATCAAGGTGGGCGCCGCGACCAGGGGTCCCTCTGGGGGCGGGCTTTCTGGGGTCTCAGCCCTCGGTCTCAGGGCGCAGAGCGCGCGGAGGGGTCGTGCGTGTTGGGTCAGCTCTGGGCCCAGGTCCCCGTGGGCTCTCCCAACGCGGAGAACAAGGGGTGGGTGGAGACCACCCCAGGGTGCCTGCCTCCCGGGTGGATCCTGCCCTTAAAACTTCCTTCACTGCCCTCCCCAAAGTGGCCTTGCGGCCCCAGTTGCCATAAAAGCCATAGGATGAGCCCACGGGAAGGACTTGAGTTTCTATGGTCACCCAATACCTCCAGGATGTGGGCTGATCCCATTTGTGGAGAAGGAAGCCAGCTGGGTGTGCCCCTGTGAAAGCAGGCAGGGGCCGGGGAGGGGAGGGGGGCAGACTGGGCACGAACCCGGCTCACCCCGGCCCAGGCAGGAAGGCGGTGCTCGGGGCTGGCCTGGCCCCTGGGGTGGAGCCGCCGCCAGCAGAGTGGGGCAGGCGCTGGTGCCTAATTCGGGAGGGTAGGGAGGTGATGATGTCACCGGGCACGTGGGCGAGTGGCCTCCACCGGTTGTCATGGCAGCGGCAGCCTTTCTGGGGAGAGGAGCTCTGGAACCCGCTGCTCCTGGAGGACACAAGCTGGTCTGAGGTTCTGGGACTGGATTCCTCCGCTCAGAGGGAAGGGGGTGGAGGGGGTGTGTGCCTGGCCAGCCCCACGGCAGGCTGAAGCGGAAAACGGGCCTGGCAGTGAGGCGCTCCTGGGCCTCAGTGTTGGGCAGACCTGGGAGGTCCGGTTCTGCCTCCTCCTGGCCACGTGGCATTGGGCCGGCTCCCTCATCTCTCCGAACTCATTTCCCAGATGGTCTCAGCAACAGTCCAGTTTAAGGTTCGTTTCTTCGTTGGGAGGGGAAGGCAGAGCCCGGAGCACAATGCCTGCACGCAGTGGGCTGGCTGATGTGGGACTGGCAGGCAGGCACTGGCCCAGGCTGTGAGCCGGGGAGGGCTCAGGGTCCCCAGGTTGTGGGTTTTTGAGCCACAGGAGGCAGTCGACCATCCCAACAGGTTTTCCTGTTGTGCACACAACTCTGCCGTCCGAGAGCCTCACCCACCTGGAACCCAGAGGCAGTGGGGTGTCCGTGTGTGTGTGTGTGTGTGTGGGGGGGGTCTTTGTTGTGTTCTGACTACTGAGCCCGGAGAACATACATGTGTGTGTGTGTGTGTGTGTGTGTGTCTTTTAAAATACATATTTTATTGATTTTTACAGAGAGGGATAGAGAGCTAGAAACATCAATGAGACAGAATCATTGATCAGCTGCCTCCTGCACGCCCCCTACTGGGAATGTGCCGGCAACCAATGTATTATACATGCTCCTTGATCGGAATCGAACCTGGAACCTTCCAGTCCGCAGGCCTACGCTCTATCCACTGAGCCAAACCGGTTTCGGCCATACGAGTTTCTTAAACTGTGGTGAGGGGGCGTCGCTGGCATCAGGCTGCCACCGGAGTGAGGGTGTGGTGGGCTGCTGCTAACCGAGCCCTCCCTTGCAGACCTTCTCAGGGGGCTACGTGCACGTGCTGAAGGGCGCACTGTCTGAGGACCTCCTCATCCAGAGCTTCCAGAAGATGGGCTACGTGCCCAGGGACAACCACTGCCTCCAGGTGGCCGCCCCACCCCCCGCCGGCCAGCTGGTGCAGGTGGCCCTGGGCTGCTTCGCCCTGCGGCTGGAGTGCGAGATCCTGGGCGAGGTGCTGGCGCAGCTGGGCACCAGCGTGCTGCCGGCCGAGGAGCTGCTGCAGGCGCGGCGGGCCAGCGGGGACGTGGCCTCCTGCGTGGCGTGGCTGCAGCAGCGGCTGGCCCGGGAGGAGGAGCCGCCGCCCCTGCCGCCCCGGGCCTCCCCCGCCGGGTTCCGGGCCCCGCTGGACCTGTACCGGGACCTGCAGGAGGACTCGGACTCGGACTCCGAGGAGGCCAGCCTGTACGGAGGGCCCTCTCCGGGCCCGGGCTCCCCCTCCTCGGAGCCGGCCTACCGGCCTCTGCCGTGGGAGCAGAGTGCCAAACTGTGGGGCCCTCAGGGCGAGGCTTGGGAGCCCATGGAGGAGGCCGAGGCCCTGCAGGAAGTCAGCAGCCCGCCCCGCAGCCCGCCCTACGGGGTCCTGGAGGAGGAGGAGCCGGAGCCCGAGGCCTTCTCCTTCCTCTCCCTGCGCCGGGAGCTGAGCCGGCCCGGGGACCCGGCTGCTCCCAAAGCCCCTGGGAGCCCCGGCCCCCAGCCCGGGCCCGGGCCCGTGGGCGAGCCCCCCGGCTACCAGGTGCACAGCTGCCTGGCCCCGGGGGCCCTGCCCGCCCGCTGCTGCGACACCTGCCGCCAGCTGCACACCGCGCACTGCGCCGCCCTGCCCGCCTGCCGCCTGGGCCACGAGCTGCGTGCCCTGCTCGGCGACGCCCACCAGCGCCTGTGGCTGCAGCGCGCGGAGATGGACACCCTGCTCTACAGCAGCCCCGGGGCCCGGCCCTAGGCCCAGCCAGGCCCCTGGTCAAGGGCTCCCCGTGTTTCCGAGGTGCTCCTCTGGCCCTGGTCCCCTCCCGGGCCCAGGCCCCTGCCACCCCGGAGGGAAGTCCGGGCTCAGCGTCTGCCTCCCATGGAAAGTTCCTCTCACCCAGACCCACCCGAACGTGCTGCGGGGAAAGGTCTAGCCCACATGACTGTGACAAGGCCCCCATGAAGGACCCTCCCCTCCCCACCGTGGGGCCCCATGGTCAGCCAGGAGCCCCTGCTGCTCCCTGTGGTTTTGATTTGGGACATGCTGCCTCCAGACGTCCCGGGGGCTCTGCCAGGTGCATGCTGACCAGGCTGTGGAGGCCCAGACCCTCCCAGACTGTGGGGTCACAGGCCACACTGGCTGGACACGTGCCTGGTCACAGCTGGGCCATGGATGGAGACGATCTGATCTCACCCGAAGGGTGCCCAGCTCTGGACAGCAGGCAGGGGCTGATGGAGCCTGGACCGGCTCAGTCACTCTGGGCGCAGCCCCAGGCTTCCCATGAAGCCCACCAGGCCCAACAGCGAGCACTGAGCCTGCCAAAGCCCTGGCGCGGCCCCCCTGTGCGGCCCCTCCTCCCCAGCCCGTCCCAGCCCGGTCACAGGACCGAGCCTCCCACATTAAAGCACAGAACCACCACGTCTACCTGGAAGCTTTTATCTCGGTTGTTCCTGTAGCACCAGCCGTACCTCCCGGGCTCCGCCCCCGGAGGCACTGGCTCTGCTCTCCTGGGGCCCGGCCCAGACCCGGGTCCAGCCCCTCCACAGCGCGGCCCGAGGACCACGACAGGACGGCATCCGAGTCTGCACGTCCCTGGCCAGCAGCACCCCCAGGATGGGCCCGTGGGTGCTTCCTGAGCTGCTGGGAGCCCAGGGCGTGGCGGGCAGCACCTCGCAGGGCCCAGGTGGGGACACGACAGCTCAGTGGGGTCCGGCTCAGGGTGCCACACCCACCACCCACACCCCGGTGCACACCCCGCTGCTCTGGGGCAGTGGTGGGTGAGGAGGCAGGAATCGACGGTCAGCTGAATAGCTGGCGAGTCCTGGCCGAGGGTCCAGCAGGGTCTTGGGAGCCTGTCAGCATGGCCGACAGGCGCCTCCGGTGGTCAGGGGCTCCGCGGTCAGGGCCTGCAGCGCTTGCTCTGGCTCTCGGACACGGCGGGAGCCGCCCGCTTGTTGCGGTGGTGAGGGAAGGTGGGCATGAGCTCGGGCTCACAGGCTGCGGGAGGGGGAGTCGGCACTGGGGGCACTCAGCATGCACCTCAGGTCCCCGAGCCCCCGCACCTCCCTCTGCGCCTGTGACCTGCAGACAGCATGGCCAACGGCCAGCGGCTGCCCATGCAGGGCCAGCACGCCACCTGGATGGGTCTGGGCTGGGAGTGCCCCCCACCCCCACGTCATGGGCTGGGGCCTGAGGAGCTCTGAGGCCGTCTTAGCATCCCTCCCCCCCACCGCCCCCCCACTCCCCCGAGAAAAAGGCCACCAGCCGGCTCTGCAGACGGAGCCGGAGGGCCCGGGACTCACGCAGGGGCTTCTCCTTGAAGTAGGAGCTCTCCAGGCAGTCCCCGGCCGTCGCCCTGGGGGCAGTCATGTGAGTACACTGTGTCCAGGCGGGTCCCCCAGCTGCCCGACCTGGTGACCCTGGTTCCCATCCCCCAACAATGGACAGGTGGGTGGGAGGGGCAGGGCCCAGAGCGATGGGAGAGGTGGGTGAGGGGGGGCTGGGCCCGGAGCGGTGGGACAGGTGGGGGGAGGGGCTGAGCCCGGAGCGATGGGACAGGTGGGGGGGGGGGGCTGGGCCCAGAGCGGTGGGACAGGTGGGTGAGGGGGGGCTGGGCCCAGAGGGATGGGACAGGTGGGTGGGGGGGGGGCTGGGCCCAGAGCGGTGGGGCAGGGGGGGGGGGGGGGGGGGGCTGGGCCCAGAGCGGTGGGACAGGTGGGTGAGGGGGGGGGCTGGGCCCAGAGCGATGGGACAGGTGTGGGGGGGGGCTGCGCCCAGAGGGATGGGACAGGTGAGGGGGGGGGCTGGGCCCGGAGCGGTGGGACAGGTGAGGGGGGGTGGCTGCGCCCAGAGGGATGGGACAGGTGGGTGGGAGGGGCTGGGCCCAGAGCGATGGGACAGGTGGGTGAGGGGGGGGCTGGGCCCAGAGCGATGGGACAGGTGGGTGAGGGGGGGTGGCTGCGCCCAGAGGGATGGGACAGGTGAGGGGGGGTGGCTGGGCCCGGAGCGGTGGGACAGGTGGGTGAGGGGGGGGCTGGGCCCAGAGCGATGGGACAGGTGGGTGAGGGGGGGTGGCTGCGCCCAGAGGGATGGGACAGGTGGGTGAGGGGGGGGCTGGGCCCAGAGCGATGGGACAGGTGGGTGAGGGGGGGTGGCTGCGCCCAGAGGGATGGGACAGGTGGGTGAGGGGGGGGGCTGGGCCCGGAGCAGTGGGAGCTTGCACTGGCCCGTGACCGAAGTGGACAGACCACAGAGCTGGGCCGCGTGTGGGGGACCCGGGGCCCGGCCCGGTCAGCACCTCTTGGTGGGGTCGTACATGAAGAGCAGGTTCAGCAGGCGCAGGCCGGCCTCCGACAGCCACGGGAAGCGGTGCTTGAGGTTGTTGTAGGGCTGCTTCCGCAGGCTGTACTGGCCGACCAGCGGCAGCCGCGAAAAGCCCTGCGGATGGAGCGCAGCTGCAGGGCCGCCCTGCGGGCGGGGGGGGGGGGGGGTGCAGGGAGGGGAGCAGGGCTGCCCAGCGAGCAGGAGGGGGCAGGGAGGGGAGCAGGGCTGCCCAGTGGGCAGGAGGGGGCAGGGAGGGTTCAGGGAGGGGAGCAGGGCTGCCCAGCGGGCAGGAGGGGGCAGGGAGGGGAGCAGGGCTGCCCAGCGGGCAGGAGGGGAGCAGGGAGGGGAGGCGGAGGCTGGTGCTCACCGGCCAGATGTTCTCACTGGGGGTTCCCAGCAGCTGGACGATCAGGTCCACCTGGTGGATCTCCGACGTGCCCGGGAGCAGGGGCTTGTGGGCCAGCAGCTCGGCCAGGACACAGCCCATGGCCCTGCGGAGCGGAGTGGGGCCTCCCTCACACACCTGTCAGCGCCGCCCGGCCGGCCCGTGGACAGGCCTGGGCTCGCGGCACACGGAGCGGCCGGACGGGCCAGCAGGCGCTGCCTGCCTGCAGGACGGGGCCTCCTGCGGACGCAGGGCTGGCCGGGAGTGCTGTTCCCAGACTGCCCTCCGGGTCCCCGGCGAGGCCGCCTCCCATCGGCCCAGACCGCCCACACGGCCCCCGCCCTCACCACATGTCGATGCTGGTGGTCTGCGTGGTGGTGCCCAGCAGCAGCTCCGGGGCTCGGTACCTGCAGACAGACGCGCCGCCTCAGGCCGGTGCTCCCGGGCCCCACAGGGACCGCGAGCTGCAGCCCACCCACCGGCCACCGTCTGTCCGGAGCCCGAGAGGTCCCGGCGCAGCACTGCCGCCACCCCCAGCCTGCCGCCCCGCCCCCGCCCGCCGCCCCCCCCGCCCCCGCCCCCCGCCGCCCCCCGCCCGCCGCCCCCGCCCCCGCCGCCCCCCCCGCCCCCCCCCCCCCGCCCCCGCCCCCCCGGCCCCCCGCCCCCCGGCCCCCCCCCCCCCGGCCCCCCCGCCCCCCGGGCCCCCCCCCCCCCCGGCCCGCCGCCCCCCCCCCCCGGCCCCCCCCCCCCGGCCCGCCCCCCCCGGCCCGCCACCCCCCAGCCCGCCTTCCTGGGACGCTCTGCCCATGCGAGCTGCCCCAGTAACAGCCGCCCTCGCTGCCCAGCCCGATACACCGGACCACACCGGGTCTGGGTGGGCCACTGTCCGCCGGGTCAGACAGTCCGAGAACACATGGCAGGGGGCCGGCTCTGTCTTCCCTCTAACCACACCCCTGAGCTGCCTCCAGAAACTCGGTGAGCGGTCAGCCAGCCACGTGGACCACCTGACCCCAGGCAGGGAGGCAACCTCCCCGCCCAGCACAGCTCAGAGCCAGGCGGGGTCCTGTGCCGGGAGCTGCCCAGACCCAGCCTCCGAGTGTGCGCAGCTCCAAGGCCGGCCGGACACCCCACTCCCCGCCACCAGGCACCCGCCCGCCCGGGACTCACCACAGGGTGACCACCTTGGGCGTCATTGGTCTCACGGGGATGCCATAGGCCCGGGCCAGGCCGAAGTCCGCTGACAGGCAGCCAGAGGGAAGGAGGCGGGTCACCCAGGGGGGCCAGCCCTTAGCCCTCAGGGAGCCTGTGATAGATCTGCGCCTCGCCCCCCCACCCCCCCATCAGCAAGGGGCAGGCACAGACACCCACCTCAGAGCCAGCACCCACCTGTCTTCACACAGCCCTTATCGGTCATGAGCAGGTTGGAAACCTTCAGGTCCCTGTGACAGAAAGGGAAGGTCAGGGCTCCAGGAAGTGAGCCACCGGCAGTCCTGTTGTCACCATGGTAACATGCAGACGCTTTCCCACGTCTCCTGTGTGGACTTACGGAAACGAGGAGGGCGGGCAGCATAGGCAGCTGGACACCGAGCTCTCGGGACTCCGAGAATCGGCAGAGCCAGGCCTCCGGCCTGCATCCAGCCTCTAGTCTAGCTCCCCAGGGCGCAGGGAGCCGCTGTCCTGCTCTGGGCTCAGATGGCCCCCCACCCCCACCCCCACGTCTGGGCCTTCCTGGCCTGTGTCACAGACCCCAGGCCGCTGTCCACTGCGAGCTCAGAGCCTGCCTGCACGTCCCCATCGGAGCAGCAGGAGGTGGTGTTTGTCCCGGATGCCTTCCCAGGAGATCAGGACAACCTCCGCTGCCCTGGGCCTGGGTCTGCTCCCGCCTCTCCTGACCCTGGGCCCGGTGCACTGGAAGCCGGGTCAGAACAGGGTCAGTACCAGCACCAATGCCCAGGACCCCACCCTCCTCCAGGCTGATGCCATCCCGGCCCGAGGCCCTGCCCCCATCCAGACCCAGCTCCCGAGACTGAGCCCTCTGGCCCTCCGGAGTCCCACCTGTGGATGATGAAGTTCTGGTGCAGGTACTGGAGACCCCGCAGCACCTGCAGCACGATGCACTTGACCTGTGCAGAGGGCAGGACGTCAGGGGGGGTTGGGGGGGACCGGGACCTGCAGAGCCCTGGGGCCCTCCCTCGCACCTGGGCCTCCGAGAAGGGCGTCGGCATGTTCTCCAGGAGGCTGGCCAGGTCCTGCTCACAGTAACCCATCACCAGGAAGATGCTGGAAGCAGCAAGGGGAGCACGGTGCCACCTCAGCCTCCTGGGGGGGAGGGGCTGGCAGAGGGCTGGGCAGGGCCAGCGTGGCGGCCGAAGGCTCACCTCTCCAGGTGGTTGCCCACCACCACCTCCTTCAGCTCCACAATGTTTGGGTGGCGGAGGCGGAGGAGCAGCGTGATCTCGCGGAGGCTGCTGATGGGGACCCCTGCAACCGACAGGCTCAGACGCCCGCCCGCAGACCAGACCCTGCACCCTGCCGCCTCCGTGGGCCCCGCCCCCCGTCAGGGCTCCAGTGCCCGATCAGGAGACGGAGGTGTCCCAACACGCAGCCTGAGCCCCTCCTTCCGCGTCAGAGGCAAAGCAGCAGCTCCCTACACAGACCCGTGTGTGAACCAGCCCTCTGAGCACAGCAGAGCCCTGCCCGCGGCAGCCAGGAGGTGAGGGAGCGCGCAGGCCGCCTGCCTGGGGCCTGGGAGGGGAAGGCCCGGTGGGGGGTGAGAGCTGAGAGATGAGGGAGACTGAGGAGGAAGAGGAGGAGGAGGAGGAGGAGGAGGAGGAAGAGGAGGAGGAGGAGGAGGAGGAGGAGGAAGAGGAGGAGGAGGAGGAGGAGGAGGAGGAAGAGGAGGAGGAGGAGGAGGAGGAGGAGGGGACAGAGGGTGGGTGATGAGTGGAGGCCTCACAGACCAGCCCCCTCTCCCCCCTCGCAGAGGCTCTCCAGGCACTCAGTCCCGGGTCCAGTCCTAAGGGAGCCCCGCCCGCTCCGGGCTGGAAGCCCTGCTCACCATCCTTCTCCTTGTCCATCCGCACTTTCTTCAGGGCCACGATCTCATCCGTCTGGGTGTCCCGGGCCCGATCTGGGAAGGAAACTCGTCCGTGTGGGACGCAGCCCGCTCCCCGGGCGCACGCCCAGTGCACACGCCTCTGCCTGACGTCAGGGCTCCCTTTCCCTTCGACAACCAGGTGCCCAGCTGCAACCCCGCCCCCGCGGCCCCACTGGACACGACACGTGCTCTGGGCACAGGGCACAGGGCTCCTCGTTAGAAAGAGCCCCCTTGAGTTCCCCTGAGTGGGTACGCAGGTCACTGCCTGGTGCTCTGAGGTCCCCGTTTTCACACCAAATCAGGTGCTTTATCTATAAAAAAGATGCCTCCGCACAGCACTGTGACGAGAGGCTTAGCGGTGGGCGCACACCAGCGTCCAGGTGCTGCAAGCTCTCGGGGAGCGCTGCCCTTTACTACGGAAACAGCTGGGGCCACCCTGGTTCCACCGCAGCAGCCTGACGGCTATCCAGACGGGCAATCCCTCGTACAGGTGTTCCTCCTGGCTCCTCCCGGCCTAACACGGCTCCCGTGGGGCTGTCCCGAGCCCCGGCCGCCCCCTCGGCCACTCACACACGATGCCGTAGGTGCCCTCCCCGATGCGGTTCAGCTTCTCAAACTCCTTCACGCTCCGGCACCGGCCCAGCTAGAAGAGAGGGCGCTGGTAACGCAGGGACTGGCAGCCAATGGGACAACCGGAGATGGTCATCCCACACTTTCTTTGTACCGCTATGTCTCACTCACCGAGCAGAGGCAGCCACAGCCCTGGGCTGGTCAGGGGAGAAAAGGGGGGCGATGATACTGGGCAGGCAGCCACGCCCTCCCAACCCCGCGGCCCAGGGTGCCTGTCTAACAAGGTAACCGCCGGCCAGCTGTGGTTGAAGTGAACAGTTCACTTCCTCAGCTGCACCAGCCACACGGGAAGTGCTCAGTGGCCTCAAGTGGCTTGTGGCGACCACACTGGACGATTCAGAAAACAGTTCTGTCACCACAGAAAGTCTCCTGAGCAGCACTGGTCTCAGGGACGCTCTGCAGGTGGCAGAAGCTTCAGAAATACCGGCCTGGGCGGGAATGCTTCCGTGGCAGAGGCTCCTGCCCCTACACACAGGCGTCACTGCTTCCTCTGAGCGATGAAACGGGGCCGCCATGGGGGCTGTTTTCCCAGCCTCCCTTGCAGCTGGGTATGACCACACGACTACGTTCTGGCCAACAAGAGACAACCTGAGTGCTTGGCCCGCCGTGTGGAAAAAGCTGCCTCTCTCAGGAGGGTTAGAGGAGGGAGAAAAAAGCCTCGTACTTAAGCCATTATATCCTGGGGTCTCTCTGTCCTAGCAGAGAGCTTGTACCCCAACACACCTTCATAACGGGGTACACACACATGCAGGCTGAGCAGCCCAGGCTGCAAGTTAGAACTGGATTCTAACAGCTCCTGTTGGCCCCTGCTTCCATTCTCTGGCCAAACCTTGCCCTCCACCGCACTGCTTGCTAACACCTGGGGGGGAGCCAGGTGGCCCGGACTGAGGGAGCTCTCTGTGACCTCACCTCCACCTCCTTCCCTTCCCACCCATCCCCCTTCTCGTTCTCTCCTCCCTGACTGAGCTCCCGCCACTCCTTAAGTCTGCCTCCTCATGTCTGCATGCCCCAGACACAGCACACTTTCCAGCCCGGGGAAATGCCAGCCCTTCCACAAGTTCCTCCTGCGGCCCCCCAACCCCCGCCGTGAATTCTTCTCTGACATGAACCACCTCCTATTGTGCACTGGCTATATGTCCTGATCTGGGAGTGTCTTTTTAAATATATATATATATATATATATATATATATATATATATATATATATATATATATATTGGTTTTTAACAGAGAGGAAGAGGAATAGAGAGTTAGAAACATTGATGAGAGATAATCATCCATCAGCTGCCTCCTGCACACCCCCTACTGGGGATGTGCCCTTGACCGGAATCGAACCTGGGACCCTGGAGTCCGCAGGCAGATGCTCTATCCACGGAGCCAAACCGGTTTCGGCTGATCTGGGAGTGTCTTAACTCGCCGCGGAGAGCAGGGCTCCCAGCACTCAGCGCACCGAGCCGGGGTGCAGCGCCCGCCGGCGGTGGCCGGGGCGGCTCCGGGGCTCGTTCCGCCACGGGCTGTGGACGAGCCTCACTGGGTCCGGGCTGGGCCTTCCAGAGCACCACCAAGTAGCTCAACTACAATCCAGCCGCCAGGGCTCCGGCCGGCCCTGCAGGAGCCGATGGTGGGAAAACCGTTCAACGCCCCGAACTGCCACCCTCCTCTCTGCAAAAGGGGGGGCTGGTGCCTGGCCAAGGGACATAACGCAAGGCCGAGCCTGGCCCGACCCGTTCAGGCAAACCCTCCTCCGACACACGGTGCTTCTGGGTCAGTTTGCCGAGCCCGTTCTGGGCGCAAAACTCTTTAAAAAAAAAAAAAAAAAAAAAAAAAAAGACACTCGAGAAGACGCCCGGAACCCGGGCCGCCCCTACAAGCCCGGGGCTGGCTGCCGGCTTCCGTGCCTGCCGCGAGGAACTCTGGGACTGCCGTTCCCGCCCGTGCCGGAAACCGCGGCGCTTCAGCACGACACTGAGGACCCGGACCTCGTCGGCCCCGCCCGTCCGCAGCGGGCGCGGCTCCCCCGCGAGCGACCCCCGAGCGCACCCTGTGTTCCGGAGGCACCGTGAAGAAGCCTTCCTTACGGACGCACTTCAGGCGGATCTGCTCCGACTCCGCCTCCGGCTCCGCCATGCCCAGCGCGGCGCCCGCTCCCCGGGGCGCAGGCGCACACGGCTCCCTCGGCTGTGGCGCGTCCCCACTTCCGGGGCGTTCCCCCTGGCGACGGTTACCAGGGGAACCGGAGGCCGCCGTGGACCTGAGCTCCCGGGATGCGCTCAGGCCCTGGGGGTTCGCGGCTTCGGTTTAAACCCGGCTTCTGGCGGGGCTGGGGCACCGAGGGAGTGACGGCTGCCGGCGGAGGGGCGGCCGCGAGGGCCGCGGGGCCCGGGCTTCGGAGCGCGGAGGCGCCCGGAGGGAGTGCGGGCAGGGCCCGAGGGGACGGACGGCACCGCACGGGGGGTTGTGGGGGGTGAGACCCGGGCGCCTGGCGGTATGCTCGGCCCTGTCCGGCGGGCTCACTGCGCAGCTGGGGCGGGCGGACGGGGCTGGGGATGGGCGGCAGGAGAGCCGTGCGCGCCAGGGACTGGCCCTGCGGGAGGCCCCTGTGCTAGGACCGCGCTGCCGGCGCTAAATTAACGTTAAGGTAAGCCAAGAACATTGTGTACTAAGTTAACGCGTGGAAATTTTTTTTTTTAAGTTAGTCCTTTATTTATTTTAAAATATATTTTATCGATTTTTTACAGAGAGGAAGAGAGGGATAGAGAGTTAGAAACATCGATGAGAGAGTTATCGATCAGCTGCCTCTTGCACACCCCCTACTGGGGATGTCCCGCAGCCAAGGTACATGCTCTTGACCGGAATCGAACCCGGGACGCTGCAGTCCGCAGGCCGACACTGATCCACTGAGCCAAACCGGTTTCAGCAATTTTTAAAAAATTATTGATTCCAGAGAGGAAAGGAGAGGGCTAGAGAGATAGAAGCATCAATGGGGAGAGAGAATCATGGGTTGGCTGCCGTCTGCACGCCCCCCACTGGGAACCAAGCCCACAACCTGGGTCCGTTCCCTGGACCGGAATCGAACCTAGGACCTGAATGTCTGCAGGCTGACGCTCTATCTACTGAGCCACACCGGTTTCGGCCTTTTGGATTCTTAATACCCTGGGTCACGGAGCAGCCAGGCTAGGAGCCCTGCAGCCCTCCATAGAACTCCACACCTTCAAGTTGAGTGCTCAGAGCCCCACCCTCTTTCGGTGCAGCGACCTCTCATTCACCACCCAGCCCATGCTCCTTCGGAGTGGGCAGGAAGGAGGTGAACAGAAGGGAGAGGTGCCCCCTGCTGTCTATCACTGCACAGCCAGCCAGTTCCAACGGGGTGGAGGTGGTGGGGGGTGATTTAGTAAAACTAGTTTCAGGCCCTCTTGCCCTCGGCCAAGCTGCCAGCAGCTCTGGGGAAGGTGAGACCATGGCAGTCACGGGGCACCGTGAAGGGGGAATGGGCACCTGCAGCTTCCCACAGGCAGGGCGGCACTCCTGGCACCACAGCTGGCACTCAGGGCACAGTGAATTAGGACAGAGACTCAAGGAGTGGTTTATTCGTCAGAGATTAAAGCATAGGCGTCTATTGTGCTGGGATTCCTGTGTCGGGCATAGGGGCCGAATACTACCTCCTCGCGAATGGTCCTCTGCTCTGGGCTTCTGTCGAGAATCTCATTTGAAGCTGAAGTGATCACGATCTTTGGGATGTTGGTGCTGTTCCTGCTCGCCTTAGCTTTCCCTAGGAGGAAGGAAACACCCGGGTGTTGAGTAAGTCTGCAGCGAAGCAGACCACGTCTGTGTGACGGCCACAGCACAGGACAAAGAAACAGGCGAGGTTGGAAGCAGTCAGAACTGTGCATGAACGTTCAAAAGCTTAACCCAGGTCCCTTCTAGAACTAAAGGAGACTTCTGCCATCCATCCACCTGGAGACCGAGCTGCCAAAGGCCCAGGAGGCAGACAGCCTCCACAAGGCAGGCGGGCCCCAGAGGTAAAGTTCAGGTGCAGCATTTCCAAGGGATTCTAAAGCTGGTAGCAGCTCTCTGTACAGAACTTTATCCGTCAGACAGACACTTCTGATGTTGGCCACCTTTTCTTAAACTTGCTCTGTTTACAAGGAATACATAAGACTTGTGAAATGCTGATTTTGTCAAATGTTACAAAAAGCAGAAGGCCCTGCCTGCCTGCAGCCTCTGGGGGTACAGTTCGAGGCACATCCCTGGGCGCCTCTGGTAAAGCACCACAGGGGTCTCTGTGCACACGTGTGTATGGGAACAGCACGCCCAGGGTCACGTGCTGCCCCAGACAGCTTGGCAGTCTCCCGTGTTCCCACGTAACACCTCGTGGGCCTGGCCGCACGGGAACCAGTCACCCGTGCTGAGCCCTGGAGTAACGACAGTGAATAATGACCCACAACAGGCTTCTGAAGTAGGTCCTACGTTTGGCAGATGAAGGAACTGTGTCAGAGGGAGATGCTGGAGCCTGGTCTCAGGTCCAGAGCCCCCTTGAACTTGAATCCTGGGTGATTTTAACCATTGCCCTGGGCACTGCCATGTCATCCTTTCTCCATTTAATTTCATTTGGGGAACTTATTTTTTCACATTGTTTCATACACGTGTTTTATATTATTAAAACTTCTTAAAGGTTATGAATATTTGACTTAAAGCAATATGTGTTGATTAAAAATTGCACATGGCTTGATTCTTCTCCTTGCAGGACATTCAAGGTGGCCACTCACAGGGCTGTGGACACTGGCTTCTGCTTGACTCGTGGCCTCTGGCTGGAAGGCTCAGCGATGGGGCAGCTGACGGCAGCACTCCACCAGGGGGCAGCTCTGGCTCCAGGCCCCAGGCCCCAGGCCCCAGCGAGCATTCCAATGAGCCTGTCCTGGCCCGGCCTCAGAAGCCCCCTCTGCCACATTCGGATGGTCACAGGAGTGATTTAGGGAGAGGGACAAGACCACACCCAGGTGGGAGGAGCATCCGGACACAGCGTGGTGGGGACTTGGGCTTGTGTTGGGGAAGCACCAGCAGCCATGCGTGTACCTTCACTTTGCCCACCCATCACATCCGGTTGGACTTAGAGTTTGGGTGCAGCTCCCAGAGTCCAGGACTCGCCTATCGTCCATGGTTTTCTGAGGTGTGATCCACACACAATAAAACGCAGAGTTCTTAACTGCTCGGCTGGGTGAGCTTTCACGGTGGCACACACCAGGGTAACCACGCAGACATGATGCAGAAGGTACCATTGCTCCAGAGCTCCCGCAGGCCTGTCCCCGGCTGCCCGCACCCCAGCCCAGCCCAGCCCAGCTCAGCAGGCCCTTTGGTTTCTATCCCGTCGTAGTCGAGCCCACTTCCAATAAGATGACAACAGAATCCTCGACCTGGGACTCCCATTCTCTTACGGTATCAGGTGTATTAAAGGGGCTCCGGCTTCTGAAAGGTCTCCCATTCTCAGGCGAAAAGCAGATGCGCTTCCTCGATCGATGTTCTTCCGGGCAGACTGTCTCCCCTCGCTCCCTGCAAACTGCGGCTCCAGAGCCACATGCGGCTCTTTGGCCCCTACAGTGCGGCTCTTCCACAAAATACCACGTGCGGGCGCGCACGTTCAGTGCGACTGGAACTTCGTGGCCCGTGCGCAGAAGTGGGTTTTTGGCTCTCAGAAGAAATTTCAATCGCTGTACTGTTGGTATTTGGCTCTGCTGACTAATAAGTTTGCCGACCGCTGTTATAGGCGACTGTGCTCCAGCCTGGGGCAGCTTTCCAAGATTCGGGTCCAGTCTCCAGGGCATCCACCTGCTGGGACGGAGCAGTGAGCGCCGTGTGTGGGCGCTGAGCCCCTCCTGATCGTGATGCACTATCACTCGGAAACTTCCCCCAACCTTTACTGACCGAATTCCCTCTTCCGTCAAGACCTAACCCTCCACCCTGCTGTCAGGATCCCCGTTCACCCTTCCCCACGCTCCTGGAAGCTGCAGCCTCAGGCTCCGTCCCCTTTCGGGTGGGTCCTACCTTTGACTCCAGGTGACAGCTGCTTGGCCGCCCCGTCTTTCCGTGGAGAGCCCTCTGCAGAATTACAGGAAAGGCTGTCCATCGACCCTTTCTTAGCCTTTGGGCCTGAAAAGAGGCACCCCATCTGCTCCATCCACCTGGAATATATGGATAGTTAATGTGACATGATGGACTGAACCTCGGGCAACGGGTGCATTCTTCTCCAGTTGCCTTCTTTGGTTCAGAGTGGAAAAGGCAGCGTGAAAGATTTGGGTCATGCCGAAACCGGTGTGGCTCAGTGGATAGAGCGTCGGCCTGCAGACTGAAGGGTCCTGGGTTCAGTTCCCATCAAGGGCATGTACCTTGGTTGCAGGCACATCCCCAGTGGGGGGTGTGCAGGAGGCAGCTGGTCGATGTTTCTCTCTCATAGATGGTTTCTGACTCTCTGTCCCTCTCCCTTCCTCTCAGTAAAAAAATCAATAAAATATATTTTTTTAAAAAAGAAAGAAAGACTTGGGTCACTCCATTTCCCTACACTGGATATCTGCACGGAAGAAAAGGTCCCCCGATGCAAGGCCACCGGGACTCGGACGTGGGGGGGCGGGGCGCCCGGACCGGTGCGGCCCGCTGCAGGGAGACGGCGGGCCGGCGCCCTTTACCTTTCCGGGCTTGTGTTCGCTCCCGCCGAGCCTCCCAGGCGAGCCCGCCGCCCCCGGCTCGGCCCGGCCGGGCACCCGGGCACCGGCTCCTCGGCGGGCGCCGCGCCGCTGACTCACAAAAGCCGCGGCCGGGCGGCGGCGCGGTCGCCACGGCAACGCGGTCGCCACGGCAACGCCACCGCTCGCGGGCCGGGCCGCCGTCCTCTCGCGAGAGGGGCCGGCCACCGGAAGTGAGGGACAACCCGGAAGTTCCCACCCGCCGTCCGAAGCCCCCTGGAGATTCGGTGTCAGGGCCTCTGCGAGGGCTCCGCGCCGGCCTGGCCATGGACGGTAAGAGGCCGCCGCCCTTCGGGGCGCGGGGGGGGAGGGCCTCAGGCGGGCGCCCAGACCCGGCTCCCCGAAGCTCGGCGCCCCGACCTCCCCCCCATGCCCGTCGTTCCGAACCCGGCCCCGGACTCCCGATCCCCTGTCTCCGCGCTTCGATCCCCCCCCCGCCCCTGCCCGCCTCGGCGTCTGGCTGCCCCCGACCCCGACCCCGGTGCCGGCGGGGACCTGGCATTTGGGGCCCTGGGACCTCAGGTCAGAGGGCCCCGGAAAAGGAATCGGTGGCAGGACCGCCCGAGCCCCGCGCAGAGAAGCTCAGGGGGCGGGCCCTGCCCTCCAGCAGGTGGAAACTGTGCGGGGCCGCCTGCGCCACCCCCTGCGCCGCCCGAGGACACCCCGGCGGAGGGGCTGCCCCCTCTGTGGACGCTCAGGGGTGGCCCCGCTTTGTGACCTGTGAGAACCAGCCACCGGGCGCCTTTGTGTGAAGGAAATTGGGTACAAATGGCCTCAGATGAACTGCCTCCTCCCCCTCCTCCCCCAGCACGCACCTTGGTGTTGACTCCATCCTCCAGGCAGTTAGTTCTCAGGGGAGTTTCGTGTTACCCTAGCACTTTCTTCTGGGTGAGGTTTTGACATCACAGTTTTGGCCTTTCAGAGTCTGGATGAGATAGCTGGGGGGTGGAAGGGGGTGGGGCAGAGCTAGGCCATCCTCAGCCAACCCTGCTTTCCTGCTCTAAGCCCGCTGCGCCCCGGGCCAGGCTCCCTGGGGTTTCTCGAGTCACAGGTCTGCCCCATGCTGCTTGAAGGACCTGATGTCTTCATTCTGAGCTAGTGCCGTCCACCCTTTGAGGTGTCACCTCCAGACCGAGACGTTGAATCCGTTGAGGCAGCTTTAAAATGTACCGGAGCAGCGGTTCTCAACCTGCCCGACGCCACACCCTTTAATGCAGTTCCTCATGGTGGAGTGACCCCCAACCATAGAGCTATTTTCGTTGCTACTTCATAATTGTAATTTTGCTACTGTTATCAACCGTAATGTAAATATCTGTGTTTTCCGATGGTTTTGGGCGACTCTGCTAGCGGTTCTCAACCTGTGGGTCGCGACATTAGAAAGGTTGAGAACCGCTGCTGTAGAGCCTAAACCACATGTGTCAAACACAAGGCCGATTTAGGCTGGATTTTAGATTTTGGCCCCTTCTCTGATTGAGTTCGACACCCCTAGCCTAAACCATCGGAAAACACAGATATTCATTAACTAGCAAAACAACAGTTATGACGTACCAATGGAAATAGTGTTGTGGTTGGGGGTCGCCCCAACATGAGGAGCTGTATTAAAGGGTTGTGGCCTTGGGAAGGTTGAGAACCACCGGAGTCTGCTGGCTCTTGAGCTTCCTTGCGTTCTTAGCAAGTTCCGTTACCGAGGGGTCTCCTTGGCTCCCTCATGTGGATGGTGAGGCTGCTGGGCCTGGTTCGAAGGCTCTGCTGTTTTTACCCGTTTACTTTCCGGGGGAAAGAGTGTTATAAAAACAAACAGACTGTCCCGTGCGTCCTCAGCCTTATTAAACCGGGAAAGAATCACAGGGTCCGTTGTAAAGTTGCTTTACGTACACACCACCACCTTGAGTTTTCACCGTGGGCCACGCTGCCCGCACACTCACCCTCGAGATCAGCTGGTGCCATCCTGGTGCTGCCGGTGAGCGACCGGAGGTTCAGGAGGCCCTGCGGCCGCCCAGGCCCTGTGTCCACCCATCTGTCTTCCCGAGCCCTCGGCAGCACCGGCCACCCCAAGCCCTGTCCAGCTCTGCGTGCCAGCGGGTCCATTGACCCCGTCTGCTTGTTGGCAATATTGCTCATCACATTTCTTAAAATCCTCACACCGTCTCCTCTCTTTGCAGATACCCTGTTCCAGTTGAAGGTATGTACCGAGGGGCCGTCTGCCCCGGCCCGCCCTGCTGATCAGTGAGCGGGGACGTTGGTGTGAGTCGCACCCAGAGGGACAGACTGTCAATCAGTGACCAGAGCACAGGCACAGCTGGACTGTGACGAGGCGGTTACGGAGTTACTTGGTGGCATGTTCATTCTTATCTCGAGCTGAGGGCAGGGGTCATGTGGGCTCAGCCGTGAAAGAGATGTGCTGTCTTTAAGAAACACACTTGGGCATGAGGCTCCTCCCTTGATGGTCCACGAGGCTTTTAACACAGGGACCTCAATCCTTTAAAATCCCATTGACGGCGGCGGTGAGGGCATCTGAGTGTCCCACCTGTCTGGGGGCCGTTGGCACTCCTGGTGAATCCGGGGCAAGCTCTGCCGCTGTTCCCTCCAACACCCCCCCCCCCCCCCATTAACATCATCCCGGTCAGTCATGAGCATCGACGGGCCAGCTGCTGGTGTCGCTGGTCACCGGGCTTTGCCATGGCATGGCAGGAGGGCCGGTGTGGGCGGCTGCGGCACTTGGCTCACAAGCTCGGGCGTGGGAGGCACCTTGCTGGGGGCAGGGCTTTGCCAGCGGGACCAGGCTCGCTCTGCTCAGTTCACAGCGAAGCAGCTGGAGAAGCTGGCCAAGAAGGCGGAGAAGGACTCAAAGGCGGAGCAGGCCAAGGTGAAGAAGGTGAGGCGGCCGCTGTTCTTGTTCCTGGGTCTCTTCCTCTTTCCCTTTTTAAAAAATACCTTTTTATTGATTACAGAGAGGAAGGGAGAGGGAGAGAGACACATCCATGGTGAGAGAGTCTGTGCCTCCTGCACCCCCACACTGCGGATCGAGCCTGCAACCCGGGCATGTGCCCCAACCGGGAATCGAACCCTGACCTCCTGGTTCATGCCGGCTGGGCTCCTGGCATCTTCTCTTCCTGGCTGTGGCTGCCATGCAGGAAGGGGAGGGACCGCCAGCTAAGGCCACAGTGGCTCCTTTTCTGCCCCGACCCCCAGGCGTCCAGAGCAGAAAGGAGGCATCACCTGTGCTTTTTCCTTGGCTGTCCATGCCTGTTACTCGTTTCCGCTGTTCTGAGTTTGGTTTTTTCCTAAACAGTGGAGGAAGTGGGCTTCTGGCGGTCACTCCTGACCCCTGCACTCTGAGCCCTCTTTTCCCTGCGAAGCTCGGGCCCCAGAGTCTGGGCAGAGGGGAGGCAACCCCTCTGTGGGGTGAGGGCAAGGCTGGAGGCTCGGGGCCCCTCCAGGAGGGACAGAGGGAAAGGCGGGCGTGGGGGAGGGTCTGGCTGCCCTGCTGGGGCCTCTGTGACAGGTCGAATGGGGTGCTGCATTGGGAGACGCCTTGCCCACACGCTCCCAGGGCAGAGAGGGGGCCAGTGAGCCTCCTTCCCCACTGAGGCCTGCGTCCTCCTTTCAGCCTGGGGTGTGTGTGTGTGTGTGTGTGTGTGTGTAGGAGGGGGGCGGTGTGTGTGTGTGGGGGTGGTGTGTGTGTGTGTATGTATGTATGTGTGTGTGTATGTGTGTGTGTGGTGTGTGTGTGTGTGGGGGGAGGAGGGGGGCGGTGTGTGTGGGGGAGGGGGACGGTGTGTGGTGGGGTGGTGTGTGTGTGTGTGTGTGTGTGTGTGTGTGGAGGAGGGGGGCGGTGTGTGTGTGTGGGGGGCGGTGTGTAGTGGGGTGGTGTGTGTGTGTGTGTGTGTGTGTGTGTGGAGGAGGGGGGCGGTGTGTGTGTGGGGCGGTGTGTAGTGGGGTGGTGTGGGTGTGTGTATGTGTGGGGGGGGGCGGTGTGTGTGGGGGAGGGGGACGGTGTGTGGTGGGGTGGTGTGTGTGTGTGTGTGTGTGTGTGTGGAGGAGGGGGGCGGTGTGTGTGTGTGGGGCGGTGTGTAGTGGGGTGGTGTGTGTGTGTGTGTGTGTATGTGTGTGGGGGGGCGGTGTGTGGGGGGGTGGTGTGAGAGGCTTGGGAGGGAGCTGAAGAGACGAGTGAGTCGTGGGAGTGGAGGGGTGGGCCCAGGTGGCCATGTTTCCAGGGCTTTCCCGTCTTGCCCGCTGCGGGCTGGTCGGAGCCCTGCCCTGGACGCCCTGGCTCCTGAGGGGGCTGGGGGCCTGGGCGCCTGCGTTCCCTGGCGCTCGCAGCCCTGCGGGGTGGTGGAGGGCCCGCCAGGCCGGCCCCTGAGCAGCGGCATGCCCGTTTCAGGCCCTGCAGCAGAAGAACGTGGAGTGTGCCCGTGTGTACGCGGAGAATGCCATTCGCAAGAAGAACGAGGGTGTGAACTGGCTGCGCATGGCGTCCCGCGTGGACGCAGTGGCCTCCAAGGTGCAGACGGCCGTGACCATGAAGGGGGTGAGTGTCTGGCCCAGGCTCATACCCGTGGGTGCTCCCTCTGATGGCCGCGTCCAAGGGACTCGCTGGGGCTGGAAGCCCTCTGGGTCTGCGGGGTGGAAGGGAGAGTGCCTGCCAGGGAGAGCACACAGCCCAGAGCCGGGTTTCCTGGGGCTGCAGGAGGGCCGTGCGCCGAGGGCTGCTTGCTCGGCGGGGCTGGATCTCGTCGGCCTGGGTGGAGGACGGCTTGGCCTGTCCCTGGTGGGATGTCCCTCCTCAGTCCCGTTGCCTCCTCCGTCCTGGCCAGGTGACCAAGAACATGGCGCAGGTGACCAAAGCCCTGGACCGCGCGCTGAGCAGCATGGACCTGCAGAAGGTGTCCGCGGTGATGGACAAGTTCGAGCAGCAGGTGCAGAACCTGGACGTGCACACCTCGGTAGGTCGCCCGCTCCAGGCAGGAGGCGGCTTGTGCGGCCGCCACGCTTTAGCAGGTGTCTCTGTGCTGAGCCCTGCGGGGCCACCTTTGAGTACCTGACCCCTTGTCGGTCCCGATAGCACACGGCGGGAGACAGGATGCCTGGGGCAGAGGCCAGCGATCTCCGGGGAGGGGTGGGTGGCTGGAGACAGTCCCTGCCTGACACCCGGGGCTGGAGAGAGTGGCATGGGGAGCGAGCGGGAAGTGAGGTGGTGACTGTGGGGTGGCAGGGGCCCCTGGGAGGCTGCGGCGGGGGCTCCCGGGCTCCCCTGACCACCCAGAGCCTGTCCCCAGGTGATGGAGGACTCCATGAGCTCGGCCACCACGCTGACCACGCCGCAGGAGCAGGTGGACAGCCTCATCGTGCAGATCGCAGAGGAGAATGGCCTGGAGGTGCTGGACCAGCTGAGCCAGCTGCCCGAAGGCGCGTCCGCCGTGGGCGAGAGCTCCGTGCGCAGCCAGGAGGACCAGCTGTCGCGCAGGTGGGTGGTCGTTCCGCAGCTCAGCTCAGCTCGAGCTGCCTGAGGCCGGGGGCAGGCTCTGGGCTGGCGGCCACTGGGGGGCAGCGTGGGACCTGGGCTTCGGCTGCGGTCCTGGCCCTTCTGAGGAGATGGCCTACTGAGAACCCATCCCACCCTTTCTGCCCCCCCTCCCCACCCCACCTCCCCCCTCCCCACCCCACCTGCAGCGCGATGGGCCACCAAGGGAGCGTGGCTCGTGCCCAGCTTCCTAAGCTCCTAAGTTTAAGTGAAGCCCCTTCTGTGTAAGCCCGCCTGAACTCTCCCCGCCCCTTTTCACACCCGACTGTGCATCAGCGTGCTGCTCCCGTCCACAGCTCTCGTGGAAAGGGCTGTGCCTGGCTGTTCCCATGTCAGCTCAGAACCGCCCTGAGGAGCTAGACGGGAACAGAGCGGAGAGGGCGGGTGGGGGCCGAGACCTCTGGCTCCTGGTGGGCGACTACAGCCCCCCCTCCAGCAGCCCTCCACCTGGCAGCCTCCCCTCCTGGCAGCCCCCTCTCCTGGCAGCCCCCCTCCTGGCAGCCCCCCCTCCTGGCAGCCCTCCCTCCCGGCAGCCCTCTCTCCTGGCAGCCCCCCCCTCCTGGCAGCCCTCCCTCCTGGCAGCCCTCCCTCCTGGCAGCCCCCCTCCTGGCAGCCCTCCTCCTGGCAGCCCCCCCTCCTGGCAGCCCTCCCTCCTGGCAGCCCTCTCTCCTGGCAGCCCCCCCTCCTGGCAGCCCTCCCTCCTGGCAGCCCTCCCTCCTGGCAGCCCCCCTCCTGGCAGCCCTCCCTCCTGGCAGCCCCCCTCCTGGAAGCCCCCCCTCCTGGCAGCCCCCCTCCTGGCAGCCCTCCCTCCTGGCAGCTCCCCCTCCTGGCAGCCCCTCTCCTGGCAGCCCCCCTCCTGGAAGCCCCCTTCCTGGCAGCTCCCCCTCCAGCAGCCCCCCCTCCAGCAGCCCCCCCTCCTGGCAGCGCTGCTTGCTTTGCAGGTTGGCGGCCCTGAGGAACTAGGAGCCACGGGGCAGCCTCCGGCCGCGTGCCCTGCCTCCTGCCTTTGAGCTGACCCTGCAGCCGCCGGCAGCCCTCACTGCTCTCAGCACCCGCTGCCGGGCCTGGAACCCCTGTCCTGGGCTGGGCTGGGCGGCGGGTGAGTTTGCACAAACTTCTGACTTTCGTGGGTGGCTTCTGTGACTTTGGGCCAAGCAGCTGGAGGGTCTGGGCTCCCTCTGTGCCCCACTCTGCGAGGGTGCCCTGTGATGGCAGGCTTGCTGCTGACCAACAGCAGGGGGCTCGGGTCCCCGATGTCGGGCGGTACCTGGAGCCCTCCCAGCAGTGGGCAGGCCTCCCCCACCCCAAGGACAGGAGGAGGATGCCCTCAAGGGCCACCCCAAAACATGTCCCCTGCGGCCTTTGCAGAACGTCCGGGGGGGTTCCTGTCCCCCCAGCCTGGTCCTGCCCTTTGCTGCTGGCTGAGCTCCTGGGAAAGCTGGCCCCACACCCAGGCGTGCCCGCTCTGGGGGCGTCCTCACCCCCCTGCTGCCTGTGGAGGCCTGGGGAGTGGGGTGACCCCTTGGAGCCCTCTCTGTGCCAGGCCCCCGGCTGAGGGGTCAGCCACAATCACATCTCCTGCAGTGCCTCCTCCAGCGGCCCCTCCTGCTGTGCTCACACCCTTGACCTTGGAAGCCGCCCTTGGGGGGGTGGGCGGTGCTGTGGCTGGGTGTCCAGGGCGGAGCACAGGGTGTCTGATGACCTGCTGGGATGGCCCGGAGACGGCTCACTTCCTGTTCTTCACGGTCCTCAAGTTTACTTTGTTTTCCTGAAGCTGTTTGGTTCGTTTTGTTTTTTGTTGAGTGTTTCTTTTTGCCAAAATACAAGGAGCAAACAGCAGTGGGAGCGCTGGGTCTGCGTCCTCCTCGTAGGAGCTGGTGGGGGCTGCGCTGTGGGTGCGGCCAGGCCGGCTCTGCTCACTGACCGCCGACCAGCCCTCCCAGAGGCTCCGCTGTCCAGTCTCCTCGCACCTTCACCTGACTCCTGCGCGGGCTCCTTCCCGTGGCTCGTGGGAGGCAGGGGCGTCTGTGCCCGTTGCCTGTAACGCTACTGTAAATAAATGCTGATGCGGAAGGATCGCTTTGGTTTGCTTCAGGGGCTTTGGGGTGAGGAGGGGTGTAGGTGGGACCCTCAGTGTGGCCGTCCGCCCCCATGCAGGAGGCTGAGGGATATGGGAGGACAGATGGTGGGGCCCAGGGAATCAGATTCTCAGGCCCCAGACAGAATCTGCAGTTTTTACCTTGAAGTAATGGTAAACATAATGTGGTTGAGACTATTTCAGGATGAGTATTAAAGCCTTCCTCACAGCCCCCAGGGTCACTTCCCACCACCTGACAGCCCCCCACAAACAGCCCGGCGTAGTGGGGTGATGAACTGATTCCCACACACGTCCCTCTGGTCACTGGGGATGGTCGGGAGAGGTGTTGGCTGGGGGTGAGGCAGGGCCTGGCTGCCCAGAGCCTGGGGATTCACCCTCCTCTCGGGCTGGGAGCTGATCTCGGCTGCCCAGGTGGCTGCCAGGGCCCTCAGGCCACGCTGGGCAGGGTGCCTGAGCAGGGAATTCTGCCGTCGGGTTGCCCCATGCCCAGCACCAAAGCCTGCCTGTCCAGAGGGCACGTTCTTGGGCATGGAGAGGGCTCTGACCTGGTGGGGCCCCGTGGGGTCTGTCATCCAGGAGAATGTTCATCTCCAGACACAGGCCCCAAATGTCCAGCAGGAGGTGCTGTTCCCCTCCTGACCCAGGCATGTGTGCTCCGCCCTGCGGGCCGGGTGAGGCAGCAGGATGGTCACTGTGAGGAGGCCCTACAGGGGCCCCAGAGAGGCCTGCTGGCCTCACCTCCAATCTCAGCAGGCCGAGCCCAAGGGGTGTCAACACGCACATGTGTGTAGGCATGTGTACATGCATGTGTAGGCGCGCCCGCATATGTGTACACACACATGTGTGTGTGTGCACCTGTGTATGTGTGTGCACCTGTGTATGTGTGTGCATGCAAGTGTGTGTATGTGCATGTGTGTGCACATGGGTGCATGAGTATGTGCGGGCATGATTAGGCGGTAGTGGGTGTACAGGTAGGCGTGTACAAGTGCGGGTGGGGGTGGCACTGCAGCCTGGACTGTGTCTAAGGCCTCCAGTGTCCACGTGAAGCCCGTCAGCCCCGAGCCCTTCCCGGTCTGTCCACACGCCTCGGGCTCTGGGGCCTGGACATCCAGCAGGGGCCCTCCCACAGGATGTGCCGGACGCGGAGAGCACTCAGGATGGCACCTCAGGACGCGGGGCCGGTGCTTTATTGAGGATCCTCTGGGCCTGGCCTGCGCCCCACAGCGCACAGCCGAGGGGAGCCCAGGGCTCACAGGGCAGGCCAGTCCTGGAGCGTGGGAGCAGGTCCCAGGATCGGCCACCCCGATGGCCATCTTCTCCGTGCTGGGGCCTGGTCCCCAGGACCTCACAGGAGACGCAGGCCGAGGAGGAGGGTGGCGAGGGAGGCCAGCAGGGCGCCGGGCTGGAGGTGGAGGCCGGGGGCCCCTGAGTAGCCATAGCTTGTCCGGCAGGCACTGTCCAGGGCCCTCTGCTCGATGGGCTTCTCCTCGGGGTCCCGGGCGTGGTCGCTGGTCTGTGGACAGACGGGGTTGGCGGCCGGCGGCGGCGAGGGGAGGTGGGGGAGGACGGGCGCGCGGACAGGCCTTACCTGCTCCACCGCCTCGAAGACCCGCAGCAGGTTGTAGGCCAGGGCGCCCCTGACCTCCGCCTCCGTCCACTGCCTCCGCAGCAGCTCGGCGACCAGGTTCGGGTACTTGGACACGTCCTCCAGCCCCGTGGGGAGCCTGGGGGAGGCCAGGAGCACCGGGCTGTGCGGCCGGGGTCGGGCCCGGGGACCCAGCCGCCTGCCCCGCCCAAGGCACTGGGGGTGCGAGGGATGGCCTTCGGAGCAATGCACGCTGGGAAGGCCCGCAGGACACACTGCCCTCCCCCGGCCCTGGTTTCTGGGGGGCGCGACCCCCGGCCCACACACCGAACAGTCTCCGTCCTCACCTCGAAACGCCGTCGTAGTCCCCGCCGAAGCCCACGGCCCCGGCGCCCGCCACCTTCTTGATGTGGTCCAGGTGGTCTGGCGGGGAGGCAGCGGGTGTGGGTGCCGGGAGAGGCCCCCCGCCCCCTGCCACGCACCCGCGCGCGCCCACCTACCCGCCACCTGCGACAGGTTGGCCTCCATCTTGCAGGAGACGTAGTCATTGTAGAAGTTCACCATCACCAGGCTGCCCGTCTGCTTCTGCTCGGGGAGAGAGAGAGGCTGTGGGCACGGGGCTGGGGCAGCCCTGGCCCCCGAGGCCCGCCAGGGCCCAGGCCCGCCCAGGGCAGAACCGCCCCAGAGCCGCCGCCCTCACCACCAGCTGCAGCACGTCGTCCGGCACGTTCCGCCGGTGCCTGCACAGCGCGAAGGCGGAGGAGTGGCTGAAGATGACGGGGGCCCGGGTCTGGTTCAGGGCGGCCTTCATGGTGGCCACGGACACGTGGGCCAGGTCGATGATGACGCCCAGCCGGTTCAGCTCCCGCACCACGCTCTGAGGGGACACGGGGCTCAGGGGCCGGAGCGCCGGGCCCCGCCCGGTCAGGGGTCGATGGCACAGGCTTCTGGGCTCACCACCGCCCCCTGAGAGCCCAGGCAGGGGGAGGGCATCTGGGCAGGGCCCCTGCTGGCCAGGTGTCCAGCACTTCCCTGGCTGAAGCCTGGGGCCACTGCCCTGACCAGAGGATTCCAGCTAAATGCTCAGCCTGGGAGGCCCCTGGCCAGCTCCGTGTTTATATATAAAAAAAAATGTATTGATTTTTCACAGAGAGGGAGGGAGAGGGATAGAGAGTCAGACACATCGATGAGAGAAAATCATCCATCAGCCTCCTGCACGCCCCCTCCTGGGGATGTGTCTGCAGCTAAGGTACATACATGCCCTTGACCGGAATCGAACCTGGGACCCTTTGGTCCGCGGGCCGACGCTCTATCCACTGAGCCACACCAGCCGGGGCTCAGCTCCGTTTTGCAAGCGAGGGAAGCGGAGGTGTCTGCCCTGCCACCTACCTCCCCGAAGTCCTCCGACAGGCCTCCGCTCTGGACATTGTCCTCCCCGGTGTCCACCAGCCAGTTGTCCGCCCTGGAGGGAGGAGGGCCGTGGTCCCCGCCCACCACAGGGGCTTCTCGCCCGCCCTCGCCCCCCGCCCACCCCCGCCGGGGCCTCCCGGGGGCACTCACCAGGGCGTGTTGCAGCTGTGCGTGAGGGTCAGGTACCGCATGCCCAGGTGGTAGAGCGCCCGCAGGACGCCCAGGCTGCTGTCGATGGAGTGGCCGCCCTCCACGCCGATCAGACTGGCCACCTTCCTCTCCTGGAAGGCCTGCCGAATGCCTGTGAGCAGAGCCGGCCGGGCTGTGGGCACCTGGTGGCAGGAGTGCCCGCCCGCCCAGGGCGAGCAAGGGGAGCAAACACCCGAACTGCTGGCCGAGCTGCACCGGCGGCCTCTGCTCACCAGAGGGCGGTGTGGGGCCGGGGAGGCGGCGGCGGCACTCACCTTGGCTGCTGTTGACGCACAGGAAGGTCTCGGGGTACATCTGGCACATGCGGTGGATGACGTCGATCTGCTCCAGCGTCCTCCTCACCGCGTCCTTGTTCTGGGTGTCGCAGGGCGTGTACGCGGACCAGAACTGGGGGCCACGGGCGGGGCTGGGACCTGAGGCTCCAGGCCCCCCCTCCCCAGAAGCCGTCCCCACAGCCTGTCCCGCCAAGTCTGTGGCCCCCAGGAGACTGGCGGGGGCGGGGGCGGGGGTGGTGGCCTCCACCAGGGAGGGGCTGCCCCTTAGCCAGGACCCAAGGGAGGAGGAGGGGGACCCCAGCATGGGTGAGCCCAGTGGCGGACGGTACCTGGCCCCCCACAAAGCCGGCCCTGAGCTTGGGGATGTTGGTGTGCGTGCCAGCCAGGGTGTTCAGGTTGGCGCTCTTCTCCCGGAGCTGGTTGTTGAACTTGGTCAGCAGCCTCCAGGGCAGGTCGTTGTGCCTGGAGAGGGAGGAGGAAGGGTAGGAGGAGGGCAGGAGGCAGGTCCTGGTGGCCGCTGGACCTTGGGGCTCCACGCTCCCTCTCCGGCCTCTGTCCCCTCTCTGATTCCTGCTCCTCACACGTCCAGGGCTGAGGCGGACCCCAGGGGACACTCATTCCCGGAGCACACCTGAGCCAGGCCACCTGAGCTGAGAGCCCGAAATGGATGGGTCTTCCATCCTCGGGGTCCCATGCACCTGTGCAAGCCACACAGGCCCTGGGCGCTGGTTAGAATGCAGAGTACCAGGCCCAGCCAGACCACCAGCCACTGTGAGCAAGCGCGTGCACACATATGTGCATGCTCACACATACCACACACATGCATGTTCACACAAACATGGGCAAGGGCACACATCACATACATGCTCACACATAACATGTGTGCGTGCACACGCATGTGCATACTCATACACCACACACATGCACGGGCATACACATCACACACATGCATGCTCACACATACCACACACATGTGCATGCACACCCACACATCGCAAACACGTGTGCATGTATATACGTGGGACATTAGGCAGGTGCCCTCTAGACTCCTAACCTGGTAACAAGGGGCTGTGAGGACAGTCTGGGCCTGGAGGGGCTTTGTCCTGGGGCCCCCGGCCCCCGCCACGCACACCCCCAGACTGTGGAGGCCACCCCGGCTCTCTGGGGAGGGGCAAGGGCTTCTGTGAAGGTGAGGTTTGACGGACGCCTCAGGGACAGGGCTGGGGCTCCGGCACCTCGGCTGCCTGAGTGGTGGAGGGGGGGCAAGGCCTCTGGAGGGGACAGCGCTCATTTCCTGAGGACCCCAGTCCCTGAGGGAAACACGGCCCCACCTCCCGCTCCCCCACCTCCTCCACTCCGGGGAAGGTGAGTGCAGTGTGAGTGGCCCACACACCGGGGCAGCTGTTGTTGGAGACGCTGTGGTGGCCACGCCCCCTTTTCCTCGTTAACATTGCCCAGCGGGGGCAGGGCCCCTTTGAACCAGAAACTTCTCCTTCCCTTATGGCTGGGTGTGGCCAGGGCACTCCCCTGTGACAGCGCCCCAAGCTGTCCTTGACAGACGGGTGGTTTCCCCTTTTATGACTGCGGGCCGGCCAGCAGACGTGATGGCTGGAGCAGCTGCAGCCACTTTGCACCATGAGGGGAGGGACCTGGGGCTGGTGGCTGCACCAAGTTCTCGGCCTATGGAGCCCCTCAGAACTCCCTCGGGTTTCTCTGATGTGGAAGCCACCTGTTTGGGTCTTTTACCTGCAATCCACTGTTTTAAAAAGTATATATTTTTGTTGGGTTTCAGAGAGGAAGGGAGAGGGAGACAGAGATAGAAGCATCAATGATGAGAATCATGCATCCACTGCCCTACTGAGGATGGAGCCCACGACCAGGGCACGTGCCCTGACCAGGAATTGAACTGTGACCTCCTGGTTCCTTGGTTGTCGCTCAACCACAGAGCCACCCTGGCCAGGCTGCAATCTGCTATTACTGGTTTTGATCCTGTCAGCCTAGTCCTAGCTCTCCAGGCCTTGGAGCATTCCTGACTGGCCTACTCCAGCCAGCGGACTCCCCAGCGGCCTCCGCACAGCCCCAGCCCTGAACTCGGCCCCCCTCTCCGTGCCCAGCTGCCCTGAGCCCCCCAGAATGAAGGCACAGCTCCTCCGGCTCCTGCTGTGGGTGTCTTCCCCTTCTCCCCAAACCTCCCTCCACTGCGGGCCTCCAGGGCAGACACCTCCCCAGGACCCTAGGGGACTCGAGGTCCAGGGAGGAGATGGAGGGAGGACGGGGGTGGGGCAGGCAGAGTGGGGCACCTGGCACCCCTCTTCCTCTGGGCCCCTACAGCTCCCCGTCTTCCCTGCACCGCTCCCCCCCCCCCCCGTCTTCTCTGCTCACCTTGCAGAGTCTCTTGTCCAACAAACCCAGAGGCTTCTGCCAAGCAGAGAGGCCTGCACATTAATGAGCAGCCAGCATGGGGACAGGGGGGGGGGAGGGGGCTGCTCACACACCGCCAGGCCCCAGGGGGCCCGTGAGTGCCCGGGACCCAGTCCCGGCTTTCAGCGGCGTGTGTGCGTGTGGAGGTGTGTGTGTGTGTGTGTGTGGTGTGTGTGTGTGTGTGTGTGTGTGGTGTGTGTGTGTGTGGAGGTGTGTGTGTGTGGAGGTGTGTGTGTGGTGTGTGTGTGTGGAGGTGTGTGTGTGGTGTGGTGTGTGTGGTGTGTGTGTGGTGTGTGTGTGTGTAGGTGTGTGTGTGTGTGTGGAGGTATGTGTGTGGTGTGTGTGTGTGGTGTGTGTGTGTGTGTGTGTGGAGGTGTGTGTGTGGTGTGGTGTGTGTGTGGAGGTGTGTGTGTGGTGTGGTGTGTGTGTGTGGTGTGTGTGCATGTGGAGGTGTGTGTGTGTGTGTGTGTGTGTGTAGGTGTGTGGTGTGGTGTGTGTGTGTGTGTGGTGTGTGTGGAGGTGTGTGTGGTGTGTGTGTGTGGTGTGTGTGGTATGTGTGTGTGGTGTGTGTGCATGTGGAGGTGTGTGTGGTGTGTGTGTGTGTGTGTGGTGTGTGTGGAGGTGTGTGTGGTGTGGTGTGTGTGTGTGTGTGTGTGTGCGGGGGGTGTCGAACGCTGCAGGAGACAGGCAGGGGTGTGTGCAGGGAGCACCCCCAGGTCAGGGAAGCTGAGGGGGTGCAGGTGCAGGACGAGCAGGGACCGTGTGAGCCTTGGGGGGCACTGGATCGGCTGCAGCCATGGGTGGGGGCGGGTGAGCGGGACTAGATCTCCCAGACTCGCTCTGGCCGTGGTGCTGATACAGACTTTGGCTGGAGGAAGTGGGGTGTCCGGCTCACGGGGTGCCCAGCCCTGAGGGGGGGACGGGAATGGCAATGCCCATGCCCTGGGAGGTGCGGGGGGCAGGTGCATGGGTGCTGCCAGGCTGGCTGTGACCTAAAGAAAGAGTGACGGGTGGACAGGGCCTGTGGTGGACACCACCCTCACCTGCAGGAAGCTGAGGCCGTGGGGCCTGGTGTGTGTGTGTGTGTGTGTGTGTGTGTGTGGTGTGTGTGTGGTGTGTGTGTGTGTGTGTGGAGGTGTGTGTGTGGTGTGTGTGTGTGTGTGTGTGTGTGTGTGTGTGGTGTGTGTGTATGTGTGTGTGGAGGTGTGTGTGTGGTGTGTGTGTGTGGTGTGTGTGGTGTGTGTGTGTGTGTGTGGAGGTGTGTGTGTGTGTGTGTGGTGTGTGTGTGTGTGTGTGTGGAGGTGTGTGTGTGTGTGTGTGTGTGTGTGGAGGTGTGTGTGTGTGTGTGTGTGTGTGGAGGTGTGTGTGTGTGTGTGTGGAGGTGTGTGTGTGGTGTGGTGTGTGTGGAGGTGTGTGTGTGTGTGTGTGTGTGTGTGTGTGTGTAATGCTGCAGCAGACGGGCAGAGGTGTGTGTGAGGTGCACCCCCAGGTCAGGGAAGGCCTGCCACTAGCCCCGGGGAGCTGAGGGGGTGCAGGTGCAGGACGAGCAAGGACAGTGTCCCGGCCAGGCCCCCAACGTCCCTTCGCCCAGCACCCACTCTGCACAGGGACCAGGCTGCAGGGTGCCCCAGGGACCCACCACGTGCCTCCTGCTCCCTCCCTACGGGCCCCTCTGCGGGTGCCTCTGGGGCCTGTGAGACCTCATGGAGGACCAGGCCAGCGAAGGGCAAGACCCCCGTCACAGCTAGAGAAACCGAGTCCAGGAGGAGGAGGGCAGTGCCTGCCTCCCGTCCAGGGCACATGGCCCGGCGCCTGGCTCCCGGCTCCCGGCTCCTGGTTCCCGGTTCCCGGCTCCCAGTTCCCGACTCCCAACTCCCGGCTCCCAGCTTTCAGTTCCCGGCTCCCGGCTCCCGGCTCCCAACTCCCGGCTCCCAGCTTTCAGTTCCCGGCTCCCGGCTCCCAGCTCCCAGCTTTCAGTTCCTGGCTCCCGGCTCCCGGCTCCCCAGCCCATGGAGGCCACTTACCCGTCAATGACAGGTGTGGTCGCCATAATCCTCTTTGCCTGGTCCAGAAACTGGTCCGCGGTGCAGACGGCCACCAGGGGCCAGAGCCACCAGCGGGTCCACATGACGCTCCCAGGGCCTGGTTCCCGGCTGCTCGGGCCCCGCCAGCTGCACGGACGGATGAGCTGGGGCTGGAAGACAGTGCCGAGGCCGTGGGTCCAGCGGTGGCTGCAGGAGGGGCCACGTTATCAGCAATCAGCACATTCCTGGCCGGGAGGGAGGGTGATGGACGGCTGGGTGTGGCTGTCTGGGCCAGGCTGAGGGGTAGTAAGAGGCTGCTGACCCCTGGGGAGGGGCCGGAATCCACTCCGAGGTGGTTGGCCCGGGGCCAGGCTGTTTCTGCCTCCGGCACCGACCTCTGGAGCTCAGGTCTGCAAACTGGAGCGAGGAGGCACTTGAACTTTGCTCCAGCCACACCCCCCTGTGCCAGGGTCTGCACCCCACCTCCTGGCCTGCAGCCTCGGGGCCTCACGGGCTCCGGGGAGGGGGGCTGGGCTCTGGGGCTGAGCCAGAAGCCCAGCGGCCAGTGTGTCCTCGAGGCTGCAGGGCGTGGTCCCCTCGGGAAACCACCCATTGTCTTCACTAGCAGAGAGATGTGGATGGACAAGGAAGCAGGAGGCTGGAGGCCTTGAGGCTCTGGGAGGGTCAAAGCCGAACACCGGAGTCTAGTTCAAAGCAACTTTCACTTCTTAGTCTCATGTAAATCCTTGCTGATAAGATAGTCTGCCTGTTACTGGAATTGCCTGCCTCAGGGCTATGGGTGTGTCCCAAGCCTGAATAGAAGGGATGGCGAGGCCAGAGCCAGGACCTGGGGGGACATGTCCCAGGATGACGGCCTGTTCTCGAACCACAGACATGGCTTCGGCTCAGCCCGCCCTGCTCTGCAGCTCAGGGGGTGCCGGGCTGGACGAGGGTGACGGATCGAGGCACCGGCCTGAGGCACAGCTGCCAGACTGGGTGCACCAGAACCTCAATCATCATGACGAGTAGCATTTAAAAATATATATATTATTGATCAACTGCCTCCTGCATCCCCCCCCTGCCCCCCGGGGATGTGCCTGCAACCAAGGCACATGCCCTTGGCTGGAATCAAACCCGGGACCCTTGAGTCTGCAGGCCAATGCTCTATCCACTGAGCCACACCGGTCAGGGTGATGAGTGGCATTTTTTAAAATATTTTTAAAATTGATTTCAGAGGGGAAGGGAGAGGAAGGGAGAGGGAGAGAGAAACATCAATGATGGGAGAGAATCATGGATCCCCTGCCTCCTGCACGCCCCCCACCCCCCCACTGGGGATGGAGCCTGCCGCCCAGGCCTATGCCTGGACCGGGAATGGGACTCCACTCTCTGGGTTCACAGGTGGAAGCTCCATCCGGAGCCACACGGCCGGCTGTAGGTCTTCTGCTCGCCCTGGAGGTGTCCGTCGCCTCTGTGTTGGGAGCTCTGTGCTTCCATGGGCAGTTTTGGGGTGTCGCTCACACCTGGAGGGAGGCGCCCCCCCTTTCTGTTCCAGTGCTTCTCTTGTTGGAGCTGGTGCTCCAGCCCTCCTCTCCCGCCTCTGCGGGTCTCAGACGCACTCTGGGCGCAGAGGTCCCCAGCGCGGGGCGTGGTGGGCGCGGGTGTGTGTGGGTGTGGGGGTGTGGGGTGTGTGGGGTGTGGTGGGTGTGGGGTGTGGTGTGTGTGGGGTGTGGTGGGTGTGGGGTGTGGTGTGTGTGGGGTGTGGTGGGTGTGGGGTGTGGTGGGTGTGGGGCGTGTGTGGGTGTGGGGTGTGGTGGGTATGGGGCGTGTGTGGGCGCGGGGTGTGGTGGGTGTGGGTGTGTGTGGGCGCGGGGTGTGGTGGGTGTGGGTGTGTGTGGGTGTGGGGTGTGGTGGGTGTGGGGTGTGTGTGGGCGCGGGGTGTGGTGGGTATGGGGTGTGTGTGGGTATGGGGTGTGTGTGGGTGTGGGGCGTGGTGGGCGCGGGCGTGGTGGGTATGGGGTGTGTGTGGGCGCGGGGTGTGGTGGGCGCGGGTGTGTGTGGGTGTGGGGTGTGGTGGGTATGGGGTGTGTGTGGGTGTGGGGTGTGGTGGGTGTGGGGTGTGGTGGGTGTGGGGTGTGGTGGGCGCGGGGTGTGTGTGGGTGTGGGGTGTGTGTGGGTATGGGGCGTGGTGGGCGCGGGCGTGGTGGGCGCGGGCGTGTGTGGGCGCGGGGTGTGGTGGGTATGGGGTGTGTGTGGGTGTGGGGTGTGGTGGGTATGGGGTGTGTGTGGGTGTGGGGTGTGGTGGGTATGGGGTGTGGTGGGTATGGGGTGTGTGTGGGTGTGGGGTGTGGTGGGTATGGGGTGTGGTGGGTGTGGGGTGTGGTGGGTATGGGGTGTGGTGGGTATGGGGTGTGTGTGGGCGCGGGGTGTGGTGGGTGTGGGGTGTGGTGGGTATGGGGTGTGTGTGGGTGTGGGGTGTGGTGGGTATGGGGTGTGTGTGGGCGCGGGGTGTGGTGGGTGTGGGGTGTGTGTGGGTGTGGGGTGTGGTGGGTATGGGGTGTGGTGGGTGTGGGGTGTGGTGGGTATGGGGTGGTGGTGTGTGTGGGGGTGTGGTGGGTATGGGGTGTGGTGGGTATGGGGTGTGTGTGGGCGCGGGGTGTTGTCTGGGTGTGGTGGGTATGGGGTGTGTGTGGGGTGGGTGTGTGTGGGGTGGGTGGGGGTGTGGGGTGTGTGGGGGTGTGGGGTGTGTGGGTGTGGGGTGTGGTGGGTCTGGGGTGTGTGTGGGTGTGGGGTGTGGTGGGGCGGGGTGTGTGTGGGTGTGGGGTGTGGTGGGTGTGGGGTGGTGGTGGGTATGGGGTGTGGGTGGGCGGGGTGGGGTGGGTGTGGGGTGTGTGTGGGTGTGGGGTGTGTGTGGGTGTGGGGTGTGGGGGGTATGGGGTGTGGTGGGTATGGGGTGTGTGTGGGTGTGGGGTGTGTGTGGGTATGGGGTGTGTGTGGGTATGGGGTGTGTGTGGGGGTGGGTGTGGTGGGGGGTGTGTGGTGGGTGTGGGGTGTGGTGGGTATGGGGTGTGTGTGGGCGCGGGGCGTGGTGGGTATGGGGTGTGTGTGGGCGCGGGCGTGGTGGGTGCGGAGCCCAGTGCCATCCAGGCTCCTGTGCCTCGTCCTTGGGGCTGTGCAATGTCTCCCACCCAGGTCGGCCCGGCATTCGGCTCCCAGCCCGAGTCCCTGCCTGCCTTTCGGAGAGAAGGCCCCCGTGCTCGCTGCGTACGCTCTCGCTCGGAGACCGGCCCTCCGAGGTGGCCCCTGGGGCTCCCGTTTTCTCTCCTGGTCTGCGTTCGCTCCGTTCCCAGCTCCTGCACGTGGCATCTCCTTCGGGGGATCCGATCGTTAATGTCGGGGGAGCGGTTTTGCGTGCGCTTCGGGGTCTGTGATGTTTGCTGACGACAGGAGCAGCACGGTGGCTTCCGAGGGCCCGTCCCCTGCCGGCTGACTCGCTCTCCTCTTTGTCTGTCTGTTGGACCCGCGGTTTCCGTCGCAGCCTCTCCTCGGCGGCCAGGCCCTCCCCGTTGGGCGGCAGGAACGCAGCGCAGCGGTGGGGGCTAGCAGGGGAGCGGTGCACACTGCTGGCTCCAGGCTCCGTGCAATCGGGCGAGCTGCCCGCCTTGGAGGGGCTGGTGCCAGAGCTGGACTCCCGGGACCCTGCTTTCCGTTCTGCCTCCTGCCCCTCGAACACCTGCCCCCGGGGGAGCGGGCCTGGCCCCCCCTGCTGGCCGGACAGTGCAGCCTCAACCGCCTCCCCAGGCGGAGGCCAGAGGGACATCTGTCCCCCCCCTTCCCGCCTCCATCACCCCGTCTGCCTCCTGGTCACCCCCCCACCCCGGAGCCTGGCTTAGCTAGATTCTTGTTTGTTTGTTTTTAATCCTCACCAGAGGGATTTTTCCACTGATGGTTAGAGGGAGGGGGAGAGAGAGGGAGAGACAGAGACGCATCCATGTGAGAGAGACACGTCGATGGGCTGCCTCCTGCGGGCGCCCCGACCAGGGCTCCGGCTGGGGAGGGGCCTGCCACGGAGGCACGTGCACTTGACCAGAATCGAACCCGGGACCCTTTGCTCCTCAGGCTGACGCGCTGCCCCCCGAGCCGAACCGGCCAGGGCTGGCAGAGCTGGTCTTGCCAGCAGCCCCCACGTGGCCCCAGGCGGCCTGGTGGGCCCGCCAGCCGTCCGCGCTCCCTGCGGAGGCAGCTCAGGGCTGGTGGCATCCCCACGTCCCTCTCCCCGTGGCCACGCCACCTGCCCTGCGACCCCGGCTCAGTGCGGGTCCTCCACCAGGGACACCCCGAGTGGAGGTGGCTCTGGCCTCATCTCGCTGCCTCCCAACCCCGGAAGCCACCCTCTCACTCTTGACCCTGCACCAGTGACCCCTGCCCTAGCCTGCCCTCCATCCGTGGCCGGAGAAACCAGAACCCTCCTGCGGGACTCCCCTTGGGCCCGCACGCCCTCACCGCCTGTCCCCCCCCCCCCCCCGCCTGTCCCCCCCCTCACTGCCTGTCCCCTCTCACTGCCTGTACCCCCCTCACTGCCTGTCCCCCCTCACTGCCTGTCCTCCCTCACCGCCTGTCCCCTCTCACCGCCTGTCCCCCCCTCACCGCCTGACCCCCTCACCGCCTGTCCCCCCCTCACTGCCTGTCCCCCCTCACTGCCTGTCCCCCCTCACTGCCTGTCCCCCTCACCGCCTGTCCCCCCTCACCGCCTGACCCCCTCACCGCCTGTCCCCCCCTCACTGCCTGTCCCCCCTCACTGCCTGTCCCCCCCACCGCCTGTCCCCCCTCACCGCCTGACCCCCTCACCGCCTGTCCCCCCCTCACTGCCTGTCCCCCCTCACTGCCTGTCCCCCTCACCGCCTGTCCCCCCTCACCGCCTGACCCCCTCACCGCCTGTCCCCCCCTCACTGCCTGTCCTCCCTCACTGCCTGTCCCCCCCCTCACCGCCTGTCCCCCTCACCGCCTGTCCCCCCTCACCGCCTGTCCCCCTCACCGCCTGTCCCCCTCACCGCCTGTCCCCCCTCACCGCCTGTCCCCCTCACCGCCTGTCCCCCCAGGTCACGCTCGGTGGCGTCCCCGGGGGACACAGCAGGTGCCACGAGCAGGCGCCCCTCCCCCAGGCGGCCCCGGAGGGGGCACCGCGGAGCCGAGGCCCAGCCCCCCGGAGCCCCCGCTCACCGGCAGCAGGAAGGGGCCGCGGGGACTGCCTCCGGCCTCTGCTCCCGGTGAGAGCGGGGTGTACTGCTCTTTCTCTCAGGTTTCAGCCCTCCCCCAGCCGCTGCCAGTGGAGCCACCCGCTCAGCGGGAGAACGCCGGGCTGCGCCGGGCCGACCGGGCTAATGCCTCCCACATGTCAGCTGCTTCTCGTTCCCCAGACGCAGCGAGGGAGGCTCCGGGCCGGCCCCCTGGGCGCGGGCCGGACAGGCAGGCCCAGGGACGGGGCTGGAGACCAGGCCTCGGGTCCCCGGGCAGGGAGGGGGCGATCCCCGCAGGGTGGGGAGTGGACAGAGGGTCTGGGAGGAGGAGGCTCAGTGCTGGGGCTCGGGGGGTCCCTGACGGTCAGCAGAGGACTGGGGGTCCCGCCAGATCCCTCCCCTCAGGCCCCCGAGGCCCCCCGTGGCCTCACTCCCAGGGGACCCAGCCCTGGCTGGGACCCGTCTGCCCTGCGGGTCAGGGATGGGGGGTGCTGTGGTTTCCAGCACTGAGGGGTGGGGGCGGGCTCCCCATATTCCCAGCCACTGGGGACCAAGAGCAGCCACTCTGGTCGGAATGTCCTCTGGCGGGATTCCCCGGACTTTCGAAATCCAGGGCAGGTCCATGGCCCAGCTCAGCGCGGGGGGGGCGGGGGGTCACCGAGTGGTTTTGGGGTCATCGTGGGGACACACCCGGCGGGCTGTCCCGTCCCCACCCAGGCTCCAGCAGCCACTGTCCACGCCCCGGCCCCGCTCACCCCCCGCTCAGCCCCCCGTTCACCCTCTGCTCACCCCCCCCCCCCCCACCAGCCACTGTCTCTAAATGGGGCCAGTCCCCCGTCGGCTGCTGCCATGAGGGGTTCAAATGCCGGCCTTGGGAGGAAGGGGGTGGAGTGATGCCCACCTGGGGCGGTTGGGGGGTTCCCCCTCACCTAGGAGCTGAGGGGGGTCTGGAGGAGAAGGGGCTCTGAGGGAGGGGCGTCAGGGAGAGGCAGCTGTGGGGGACGCCCACATGGTGCCCGACCTCACCCTGACCCTCACTCTGACCCTCGTCCTGACTTCGCCCTGACCCTCGCCCTGACCCTCACTCTGACCCTCGTCCTGACCTCGCCCTGACCCTCTCCCCAACCCTCGCCCTGACCCTCACTCTGACCCTCGCCCTGACCCTCACTCTGACCCTCGTCCTGACCTCGCCCTGACCCTCACTCTGACCCTCACTCTGACCCTCGCCCTGACCCTCACTCTGACCTTCGCCCTGACCCTCACTCTGACCCTCGTCCTGACCTCGCCCTGACCCTCTCCCCAGCCCTCGCCCTGACCTTCGCCCTGACCCTCGCCCTGGGCAGAGCTGGCTGTGGGCAGGACACGAGGGTGACGGCCCAGCAGAGGGGCTGGGGCACCTGCTCCTGGAGAGGCCGACTAGGCCTGCAGTGCTCAGGGCGCCCCAGATCGGGCCTGTGCCCCCCGCTCTCCCCCCGACCTCACCGGGCTCCTCTGGTGAAGCTCCCATTTAGGGCTGGGCAAGAGGCAGGGGTCTGGTGCTGCACCGGCTGCAGGCTGCACCCCGATGTGCCTGTTAGGGGGGCCTGGCCGGGCAGCCGTGAGGGCTGCTCCCTGTGTTGCTCTTGCCTGGGGCTCCGACTCAGACCCGGGGCTGGTCACCCTGCCGCCCCAGGCCAGGCTCAGCGCCCCGAGGGGGGAGTCACCCCACACTCTGCCCGTGGGCCCTCGTGGTACCCCTGGTGGGCCCTGGGCCCCCGCCCCCCTCTGGCTGCCTCTGGGGACTGGCTGAGCCCCGGGGAGGGGGGCTCTGTGCCTGCGTGTGCTGTCGGCCCCGGTGCGTCTGAGAGCGGACACCTGGGGCAGTTCCGAGTGCCCGCTGTCCTGCCCCGCTCCGGGGGCTCCCCGCTCCGGGGGCTCCCCGCTCCGGGGGCTCCCCGCTCCCGGGGGCTCCCCGCTCCTGGGGGGCTCCCCGCTCCCGGGGGCTCCCCGCTTCTGGGGGCCTCCCCGCTCCTGGGGGGCTCCCGCTCCCGGGGGCTCCCCGCTCCCCGCTCCCGGGGCTCCCCGCTCCCGGGGGCTCCCCGCTCCCCGCTCCTGGGGGCTCCCCGCTCCCCGCTCCCGGGGGCTCCCCGCTCCTGGGGGTTCCCCGCTCCCCGCTCCCGGGGGCTCCCCGCTCCTGGGGGCTCCCCGCTCCCCGCTCCCGGGGGCTCCCCGCTCCTGGGGGCTCCCCGCTCCCTGCTCCCGGGGGCTCCCCGCTCCTGGGGGCTCCCGCTCCCCGCTCCCGGGGGCTCCCCGCTCCCGGGGGCTCCCCGCTCCCCGCTCCCGGGGGCTCCCCGCTCCCGGGGGCTCCCCGCTCCTGGGGGCTCCCGCTCCCCGCTCCCGGGGGCTCCCCGCTCCTGGGGGCTCCCGCTCCCCGCTCCCGGGGGCTCCCCGCTCCCCGCTCCCGGGGCTCCCCGCTCCTGGGGGCTCCCCGCTCCCGGGGGCTCCCCGCGCCCCGCTCCCGGGGGCTCCCCGCTCCTGGGGGCTCCCCGCTCCCGGGGACTCCCCGCTCTCCGCTCCCCGGGGCTCCCTGCTCCCGGGGGGCCCCGGGCAGAGGTGCCCGAGGGTGGGGTCGAGTCCTCGCCGGGCAGTTTGAGGGGTGAGGCTCTTCGGCTGCATCAGCAGATGGCTCTGCTGATAACGCTTTACAGCCCCTCATCCAGCCTGAGTTCCCTCGGGCCCAGGAGCCCCGCCCTCACCCCCCCCCCCCCCCCCCCGCCTGGACGCACCCCGACCTGGTTCCCTCTGCACACGGGGGGGGGGGGGGGGGGGGCGGCCTCACCTTCTGGCACCCGCTGCTCCCGGGCCGCCTCCAGCTGTGCCTGCTGCCCGGCCACCTCCCGTGGGCACCCCCAGCCCACTGACCCAGCCGCTCCCGTGGCCTCGGCCACGCAGACTAGTCCCCACCAGGGCCCGGCCACCGGCCACCGGGACCTCCCAGCTGCCCTGGCCCCGC